TAATTTCTGCTTGGAGAGCACAAATTAGAGATTCTAGATAGGTAATCTGTCCATGTAGACTGGTAATTTTTTTTACAAAGAGGACAGTATCCAAGTTTGAAAAGAGTACTGCGAAAGACAGCTGTAAAACAAGTATTACACTGAACTAAGCCGGTCATTTTGAAATAAAATAAAATCACAATTTCAAGCGCACTTACTCTAAATGTCTTATTGGTATTGGTAGTGGTTCATCTTTATGACGGTTGCAATGTCCTGGAGTCATGTTGATCCCCTTTTGCGTCCTTCTGGCAAGCAAAGTCGGTGGGGCAGCTAGGTTCATTTAACAACCGCGTTGCTAATTTAACCAACACAGTGATTCGCTTTAACAACTCTGGCAAGAAAAGTCATAAAATGAGGGAAACTCATTGAGCAAATGTTTCACTTAGCAACATAAATGTTGGCCTCACTTTGGTTGTAAGTTGAGGACTATCTATACACCTTAGTTAATTGATGGTCAATTATTGATTGACTGTTTCCTAGTATGATTTGATGGCTTATTGTACCCTATGACTATCATTAAGTGTGGTACCTGATGATTCTTGGCTCTTGACGAATGTAGCATTTGCACCAAGACAAATTCCTTGTGTGTCCAATCACACCTGGCCAATAAAGAATTCTATCTATCTATCTATTAGTGCCAACCAGATCATGAGATTTGAGGGCCAAACTCAGTGAATTTTTGTCCCAGGTTTATCCCAATACATGCGTTTGTTAACCTGGGTGTTGTGGAGTTTCAGAAAGTCAAGGCCAGGGCCAGATCATCATTCGGCTTCTCTCCTTGCTCAGGAGGTTCCTCTCTCTCTCTCTCCTTATAGGTTCATCAGCTGTATGCACTTGTGCAGGAGTGGAGCCCACTGGCCAGCACCCTCCCTGAGGTGGTGCAACGTCTGGTTGCTGTGCGGCAATTGCATGAACAAGGTCAGTTCTCAGGCTCTTTGGGTGGGATTACGGCGAGGGCTTCTTAACAACCAGGAAAAAAAACCCACAACCAGTCTTGAAATCATGGATTTAAAAAAAAAATTCTCAGCCTTTGGGCTCCTTGTTGCCCCAAGGAGAAATCTAGTGCTGATCAGGTTTTTTTTCTCCAACTGACTTGGGTTCGTCTTGGTTACAGCCATGCAATTTGGGCAGCTCCTGACTCATTTGGACACTACCCAGCAAATGATTGCTAATTCCCTGAAGGATAACGTCACCCTGCTGACACAGGTAAGGTTTAGAAGGCTGAGAATCACCCAGCGTAGTGCCAGTGTCGTAGTCACCAAGACGCTCTGTGACCTGAATCTGCATGAGTGATGTTTGCCCATCCCTCTACAGATGAAACATGCACGCAGGTCTCACAGTGTTTAAGAGTAGGGAGCAAGCTTCTGTGCTCACCAAAAGATAACGCGGAGTCCTTTATCCTATGACTGTGAGGTCTAGAGGGAGGAATCTTGATATGTAACATTTGCTCAAAATTATATAGTTTGTAGACCTTATACTTGTGAAGGTATGTTTAACGTGTTCTTAGAAATGTCTCCTGAACACCAGAGGTCAAGATTTCCAAAGAGGGCTGGTATCTAGTTTTGCAACAATTCTGACTGATAGTATCAATAAAGTCCTCAGTAGCTCTGTTCCTCCTTACAAAATCATAGAATTTAGGAGATGGAGAAGATCTCAGAGATAGATCATCTGGTCCATCCAGGACTCCATTGTTAGCGCAACTTCTTCCTTGCAGCGGTAAAACTACTGGAGTTCCTCTCATGCAGCAGAGCCAACCAAGTTCCTCTGTCTGCCACAATGGCAACTCTGTTTGTTCTACCAGCTCTGTTTCTTTTCCCAGATGCTCAGTCAGGGTTCCAAAAATATTGTAATGGAATTAAAAGGAAAATTACTAATACGGTGTTCATCATTGAATCTGAGGTTGTCTTTTATTGATCTAGATCATATCTAAATCCGAAAAAGATAGGGCAGATAGGGCAGTGACCACATTAGAAGATTTGGGGTTCAAGTAAATATGTGAATGTTAGACATTTTTCCTGGCATTCCATGCTCAGCTTGGGTGTTGGGTGTTTAATATTATTAAAAATAAAATGCACTGACAGATGATAAGAGAGATTTTATAGACAGACAAATGAGAGAGAGAGAGAGAGGGGTGGGTGGATGGATGGATCGATAGATCGATAGATATAGACGATAGATATAGAAGATAGATTATAGAAAATAGATAAAGATAGATATAAAAGATGATAGATAGATAGATGATAGATAGATAGATAGATAGATAGATAGATAGATAGATAGATAGATAGATAGATAAGAGAGAAATAGAGATGGATGGATGGACATTGATAAGATATACATAGGAAATTATGGAACATTTTGCAAGTTATGAAAAATGTAAAATAAATGGATGTTTGCCCAATTTCCAGTATTCTGTGGAGTATGCTGGTATTCTTGATGTCTATTGAATTGGTTTACTACAGCATAGTCTCTAGTTATTAGCTATCAGCACTACCCTGAAGCATTTGGGGGTTCCATTTGATAAGATCATCTCAATTTGGTGCTCATGGGGTCCTCACTGTATATGGTGGTGGGCGAGGGGTTCCAGTGAATCTGTCTGGCTGTTTCCCCTTCGTGGCTGACAACTCTCCACTCACCTTCTCCTTAGGTTCAGAAAGCCATGAAAGAGAATCTAGCTGCTGTTGAAGACAATTTTGCCAGCATCAACTCACGGGTACAGAAGCTGGCCAAATAAATGCCCTCTAACAGAAAGGCAGGGTGGGAAGATTTTCCCCCACACTAATTGCTCTGTCCTTTCCTTACCTCCCTCCCTTGTCTTGCACATTCAAAGCAGTTGAACCTTCCTACAGGCCAGAGGACTGTGCGCTTCTATGTTAAAAGGCAGCCGTGCCCCTCCCTCCCTCCCTCCCTCCCTCCTCCCAATGTTTCCGTGTCCCCCAAGGTTGCCGATTGCAGAGGGGAAAGCTACACTCCCCTACTGGGTGAGGAAGCTCTGTCCCAAGGGAGGGAAAGTCACCCTTTGCCCATTTCTAGAGGAAGGCGCGGTGCCTCTTTGGCCCAGAAGGTAGGGCCTTTTAAAAGGTGTCTTACGCTCTCAGCATGGAGTTGAATTGTGTTGTATAATTATTTTCTGTCATTAAACTCTGATGCTTACCGCTTTGGGCTGAAGTCTTTCTTTTTTTAAACTGTGACGTAAGATGCTACGCATCTCTTGCCTTTAGATGATTTGTTATAATCTTGTCTGTTTTCATCAGGGATTAAACTCTCCTTTGCTACTTCCAGGCCTAGGATGATATATCACTAAGTATCAGTGGGAGACTGAGCAGCAAGGCAGTCTTGTGCCTGTCTGGGAGCATCCTGGTAGGCCAGAGGGGGATTCTCCAGCTCATTGTCTAAAGTTGGGCTGTTTTAAACTTGCCATCTGGCGCAGGGGGTTTAGTGAGGCCTCACATTCTTCTCTTCCCTGTGGGGAGCATAACAGATTCAGGGTACCTGGAATGCCTTGGAGAAGTGGGCCTCGTGTGTGTGTGTGTGTGTGTGTGTGTGTGTGTATCAATAAAGAATGAAGAGAGCAGAGCTTTCGGCCTGTCGCAAAGGGGTCCTTTCTTTTGCAAAGTAATACCACAATTTCTGAAGAGCCCTCAAAGCTCTTTGCGTCTCAAAGGTATACAAAACATCAGAAGCAAAGTAAATCTGTTATTCCCAAACGCACCCACCCTCCTCCTTAAATTTCTGCCCACCTAATTTCAGTGGGTTCAGCAAGAGAGTAAGACCCCTAATCTTCCCTCTCGGCTCCCTTCCTAGCAGCTGCTGTATAGTATGGATACCCCTCAGAGATACTGAATTGTAGTGAACGTTCTGGAAATGAAATGCAGGTAACCAGGCTAGTTTCAAAGATTTTTCTAGGTTTCCAGTATTTTTGTATAACTTAGTAGCTTCTCCCAGAATGATACTCAACGGAGCTTTGAAAATCAAAGCACTTGGAAGATTTGTTCTCCGGAGAAAGGGGAAATTTGTCTTGAATCTTTTCGGTCACTTAATGTCACTTAAGAGTCAACCCAGGTAGTTTGTTCATTTAACTTTGCCCTGTTTTCCTTCCAGCAGTATTTTGCTATCTAGAATCCTGCTATTACATCGATCACATTGCTCTAGCCAAACATCGGTGTGGTGGGTTTATTTTTGTATATGTGGATCAAACTAGTTCATCTCCTTTTAGGGATAGAACCAATGGAATGCTACCCAATTTGAATACACAAGGTTTTAATGTCAGTGAACAGATGAACTGGGAAATATCTGATTGAAATCCAGGACAGTCTATACCGACAGTTATAAAAACCGTCCCACAGCCTTTTCATGTTGCATAGGTTGAACAAAGAAAAATAATAATTAGGCAAATGAAAAAAAAAAAGATGTCCAGTATGGGGAAGAAAAAGCAAAACTTGGTTGGAACTGTTAAACTGATGATCAGCGAGCATGATTTATCTTGCAAAATAACCCGTCTCGCTTTCTCTCTCAAGGAGTTAGAATATGTAGCATTTTTAGGTCTCCTTTTAGCTTTTTTTAACTAGTTTGCTACTGCTGCTTCCATGTTTCTAATGCAAGCTGATGACTGGCTGACAAAAGACAAGGAGGGCTAGGTTTTATCATGCTCTCAGGAGGTGAGCTCAGTGAGGTAATTTGGTCATGCTGCATTACCTAATGCGTTTGAGGTATCATTAGTCATGAAGAAAAAAAACACTTTCTAATTTAATGCTAGATCTGAATGAGAATCGAAAGATGCACAATGAAGGGAGGCAGCTGCCAATCTGCAAACCACCTGCTTGTTATTGCTTGTTAAGTTTGCCTGCCCAGTAAAACTATTTCTTTTAGACAAGGCAGTTTCAGCCTCTCCCACATCCTAAGAGTGTATAGTCCTGTTCCAAGCCTAGAGTTTCAGCTGCCCAAAAACAATCGCATCCAGCTGTTTTAAATACATATTTTAATACTTGATACAAAACACCCCCCCAAAAAATAAACAAATAAACAGTAACTTCAATCTAAGCTTCAAAATATTTTCATCTGTTAAATTAAAAGTCGCTCCCATAGAAAAGCTACAATTCACAATTGTGTGTTTTTATTTTTACAAAACAAAATTTAAGCTCAAAAAAGGAAAAATAGCTTTCCTTCCCCCCCCTCGCCCCCCCCATTCCTTTTTTTTCTTCTTCTTTATACAAAAAGAAAGGCCGAAGTTGGTTGGTTGAAGTGCATGGGAGGGAAGGGGAGACACAGCACAACCTGTACAGTATCTACACAGTGCTTTTGCATAATGTGTCGAGGGTTGCAACCAGTTGGGGGGAAGAGGGGGTGGTGGTGTGAAGTGATTTGGTCATTTAGAGATGAGGATTGTAGTGTATGTGTTTGGGGAATGAATGAGGAGAGGAGCAGGGAAGAAGAGGGAGCTTGCTCTGGCAAAAGATGGGCCAAGTATATTTTTGGGCACAAAATCTTCTTTTTAACTCTCTACCCTACCCCAATATGCTGTGACCTGAGTGTTCTTTTGAGGGTTTTTTTTTTTTAAAAAAAGGAAAATACAAGGAAATAATATATAGTTTTAAAAAGTAGGGCTTTTAGGAGGACTTGAGGAGGAAGAGAGAACAGGCTAAGTCACCACTCAGGGTCTAGCATATTGTCGCTGTCTTTGAGTAACCATAGAGGCAGGGAGGCTGAGGGAAGAAAAGGAGGGAAGAAAAACTGAAAGAAGGAATTATTTTCCTTGAACTTAACGTGGCTTATTTTCCTTATTGCTTTGTACCTTGGCCACTGGGATCAGGACCGAGCTTGTCTGTGTGTCAGAGAGAGACAGAGAGAGCAAGAGAGCGTGTGTGTTTGGCAAGGTAGAGAGAAGAAGCGTCTGATTCTTGTACTAAAACCCTGAGCCGGTTCTCACCTGCATGCGGCGCACGCAGGCCTGAGGTAAGGTGGGAAGTGAAAGGGCGGTGCTGTCCCCCTCCAGGAGGACAGAGCCCTTGCTACTCCTTGCTGAGGTTTGGGGGACCCAACCGTAGGGGAATCTCGCCAGGGGTGGGGGGGGGAAGACACAAAAGCAAGGGCAGGAGGGCCTCCTGCGCTACCAACAAGAACGTTTACAAACATGGCTTCAAGAAGTGCTATGGGCATGGCCCTCTTCCTCTCTCTCTCCCCCACCCCCACTCCCCCAGCCACTTCCCAACAGCAGCCCCCCCCCCTCCAAAAAATTGCTGAGACCAGAGCTGCACCGTGTGCTTTTAGAGATCCCTCTGGCGGAAGATTCCGGATCCAGGCAAGTGGTGAAGCTAAAACACATTCATGGTCAAGATGCTCAGAGCCATCAGCAACAACCGATCTTTTGCTGGTATTTCCTCCCCTCCTTTGGGCTACGCCCATAGGCTGGGCCCCAGAGATGGAAGGGGGTCACGGATGAGGAGAGAGACAGATGTCTCAAGCTCTCTTTCCTTAAGAATGGACAGTGGTGGAGACCCCGCAGTTCAGGCAGTGTTATGTGGCCAATTTCCTCCTCCTGTTTTTTACAGGCCGGCCAGGCCGAGGCCGTCGAGCAACAGTGTAGTCAACCTATAAGGGGGAACAGTGAGGAAAGACAAGTTAAGGCACAATTCACAATTTGGGGTGACAGCAACACTCCTTATTCCTTCCCTTGCAAAGTGGGGGTGGGGGGTGGGCATCCTCAGGAGCACATAATAATAATAATCCTTGAGCATCCCTTCTGCAGTCTTTGTAAATGGCCCTCTGCAGCCATAATTGCCAAAAATCAATGGTATTTTTTCTTCCACACTGTAGTAGAAACTGCAGTAGAAACCACAAAGGAGCTGTTTACTTCAATTTAAAAAGAGGCAAAACGCATCAATAATGTACGTCAAACCTTAGGAGAATCACCTCCCCAAGAAATACAGGCTTGGTCTATTCTCCATAGAGCTGCTCAGAGCATCCTGAGTGGGAGGTGCTCCAGTCTCTGCACTCAGAGGCTGAGCTTGAATTGAGGAACGCTCCTCCTCTTCCACGTGACTCCACCATAGTGTTCCCCAGTTTTAGCTCAGCCTCGTGCGAGACAGGCAGTTTGCTATCGAGCTCTTTGGCTGACTCAGGACTTTTCTATTGGATTTCTTTCGTTCACGCAGGTTTGATTGTTTCTTCCCTTAACCCCTGCGCAACTGGTCCCTTTGATTTGCCATCCCCCCCAGGAGCGTTTTTTTGCACCAGAGGGGAGCAAACGGGAGGAATAGCAGTGCTCTCGTGCTGCCCCCCCCTCAAACCAAACCCAAAGTTTTTTTCCCTGCTACTTTTCTCCTCCGCTTCTCTTTCCCTCGTTTTCGTTGCTAGCGGCTTACTTTCGATTTTATCTGCTCCATTGTTCCCCCCCCAACGAACGCCACTTTACTCAGGAAGATTTATTCTCTCCCTTCCTGCCCCCCCCCACGCCCTCAAGCTCAGGCTTGCACCGGGGGAAGTTTTTCCGCTGCTGAGACCCTCCGACCCTCGCGTCGGCAGGCAGCCGCCATTTTGGGCGTCGCCTCGTGGCCGGGTGGCATTTGTTTCTTGCTGTAGTGCAATCTAGTTCTCTGAAGGCAGGACCCGTAGGCCTGCTTAGAGCTACCTTCCTCTAATTTGTTTTTTTCGAGGCAACTGAGTCCGATCTCCTTTTGCATTGTTTATTGTTGGCTATCCTGCAGCCCACTCAGCAGGCGAAGTAGCAGCAGAACTACAACCCTCCCAGTTCCGCCTGGGAGGACAGCTGCTGGAGGCCCTACCTCCTTTTCTAGGCCTCAGGCATTCATTTAGCTAATTGGACAAACTGATCAATTATTTTTCTTTATTGCACTAGTCTTTTTCCTTTACTTACCCTTTTTTGGAGCAGTACCCAGCCGTAGCTCACAGTTCATATTGCCTTATATACATATATATATATATAATATTTGAATAATAATAATAATAATAATAATAATAAAAATAATAATAATAATAATAATAATAATAATAATAAAAATTCCAAAAGGGGGGCGTGGAACAACTATTAGGACACCCAGCCTTGTTGCAGGTTGAACCCCTAGGCGAGCCAACCGCTTCATTCTAGTCCTTCTTACATCTTGCAATTACTTTTAAAATGGCAGAGGACAATTCTTCCAGAGGACCTTCTTTGAAGGACAAATCTAAAACCCACCATTTGCGCAGGCAGGCTAAGGAAACATCCAAAGCCTCTCAGAGGGATGCCCTAAGACACCATAAGGCATTAGAAAAGGAGATTGACAGACGAACCAGGGGGTCATGCCCAGTGCCTCCGGTTCTCCCACCCTCCACTCCCTCTACCTCTACTCAACCCCCTCCTTCCAGATCATTCCTCCTTATCCAGGCGCAGCTCGCCCTCTCAGAGTCTTCAGGCTACTGGAACATCAGCTAGATGGGCACCTGAAGCTACGTTTACCCCTTTAGCCGCCGGCCTATGCCAAGAGGAACCATCCATAGTCAAGGTTCCAGAACAAACAAGATCCTGCCAAAGAATCGCAGAAGGTCTCCAGCAGATAACCAGGCCTGGCCTCCACCCGATGGCCCCTGAACTCGAATCTCTATCTGGCAGATCCCTGCCCAGATCGGAACTTCCCCTTGGTCAGGTACTCTCGCAGAGGGACATCCCTCTTACAGAAAGGGAGGAGGAGGAGGAGGAAGGGGGTCTGGATCAATTCAGGGAAGATGAAGATCTCGATCTGGGGTCCACACATTACAGCGAGCCCCTCTCGGAGGCGGAGCCAATGGAAGGAGAGATGTCCGAGGATGAGGGTCTCACCCATGATCAGCCCGCCTTTGTGGGCTTATTCAAACCTCACCTATATAAGTCACTATTATTCAAGGCCAAAAACATCTCAGGCCCGAGTACGCAGTCACCCTCTGACCCCCCCTCCACTCTCGGAGGGCCAGGATGACTCCATATTTAAACAGCCCATAGTGGAGACCGAAGTCATTCCAACTCCTCCTATCTTCTCTGACCTAGTATCAAAACAGCTGGCCTCAACAGGGGTGCCTCCCGCCCCGTCCAGTCAGGATAAGAGATATTTCAACCTCGACCCAGAATTCTCTATCGTACTAAATACCCCCAAGGTCGACAAGCCCATAGTAGGCTTAGCGTCCTCCTCAACCCCAAACGATGCCCTGGAGGCCCTGAAACCTGAAGACAAGTGGGCCGAGCTGGCCTTGCGCCGGGCCCACCAATCTGATGTTTGGGCCATTCGATCGGCTATGGCCGCATCCTTTTTCACCAGGTCCTCGATCCGGTGGCTCCGCCAATTAAAACAGCATGTCTCTTCATCCAACACCAAGGCGCATCAGGACATCGCTAAGCTTACGGCCGCAGAAGAATTCTCGGCCGACGCCACTTACCATTTACACATCGCAATTCGGCCCTCCCATTACAAATTCTTGAGATTTTGTTATAATAACCACCACTTTCAGTATGTGGCCCTTCCCTTTGGATTGGCCTCGGCCCCAAGGACCTTTACCAAGGTCCGCGCGGCATTACCAGCCCACCTCAGGAACCTCCCTGTCTGTATCCACTGTCATCTGGATGACATCCTCATCCTGTCCCCCTCCAAACGTCAGGCAGAAAGGGACACTGGAATTACCCTCACCGCTCTCCAAGATCATGGTTTCCTTATAAATTGGAAGAAAAGTCAACTATCTCCATCTACCCGAATAACCCACTTGGTGGCAGTAATTGATATGGTTCAAGGGATGGTCTTCCTGTCTTGGGAAAGACTCCTTAGCATCCAAAAATCTGTAAGAGAGATCAGGCGATCAAAAAAGGTGTCTCTATTAGACTTGTCAAAGTTATTAGAAAAAATGGTTTCATGCATTTCTATTGTTCCCTGGGCCCGTTTACATACCAGATCCCTACAGCGGTTCCTGCTTCCATACCAGCGATCTGGAAGAAGCAACTCAAAATGCATGGTCGGGGTACCTCTAAGGGTCCTCACGTCCCTCCTCTGGTGGACCAAACCAGCCATCAACAAAGGTCATTACTTCAAGGAGCCCCAGAGGCTCACCCTCACCATGGACGCCAGCCTATCCGGATGGGGCGCTCACGTCCACTCACTCTCATCCCAGGGCAGATGGTCGGCGACAGAACAACAGTGCAGTATAAATTAGTTGGAACTCCACGCTGTACACCTGGCCCTACGCAGCTTCCTCCCCCAGGTACGCGGACATCATGTCCTTATAATAACAGACAACATCACAGCCAAAGTGCACATCAACAGACATGGGGGCACACAATCCATTCGACTAATGAGGCCGAGCGCCTCTGCCGCTGGGCAGAGTCCAACCTCTATCTCTCAAGGCAGAACACATCTCGGGAGTTTCAAACATCCAAGCAGACTGGTTGAGCAGGGCCACTATAGACCAGTCAGAATGGCGCCTCCATCCGTCACTGTTCAGGGAGGCGTCCTCAATCTTCGGACAACCGGTCATGGACCTTTTCGCATCCCCGCTCAACGCTCAAATCCCGAGATTCTTCTCAAGGTACCCATCTCACGGGGCAGAGAATCACAACGCGTTACGTTGTCCCTGGCACACGCGCCTCCTGTACGCATTCCCCCCGCTAGCTCTAGTCCCCAGAATCATCCAGAAGTTGATCCTCGAGAAGGCGGAACTGCTTCTGGTGACCCCCTACTGGCCCAGACGACCGTGGTTTGTGGACCTCCGCAACCTATCAGTAGCGCCCCCCTGGAGTATCCCACCGGACAGGATCTCGCTATCTCAGGGGCCCCTTCTGCATCCAAATCTGCAATGGCTCCAACTAACCGTCTGGAGGTTGAGCGGGACCGTTTAAAGAGAGAAAAGTTTTCTAACCAGGTCATCGACACCATTCTAGCTGCCAGAAGGCCCTCAACCACCTGAATCTATAACGCTACATGGACCATTTTCTGTAAATGGTGCCACAAATCTTAAATCAACCCTCTCTCTCCTTCTATCGCTCAAATTCTGGACTTTCTTCAGGAGGGACTGAATAAAGGGTTATCCCCCAATACATTGAAACATCAAGTTGCAGCCTTAACAACCGTCATCTCTTGCGGCGACATTGGCTCCCTTTCCCATCACCCCCGTATTCGGGCCTTCCTTAGAGGAGCCACTAACTTACATCCTCCAACTGTACACCAGTACCCAACCTGGGACCTTAATAAAGTCCTCATTTCACTCACCAAACACCCCTTTGAACCCCTAAGGGAGACAACACTCCAGTTTCAAACTTTCAAGGTAGTGTTCCTGGTAGCCGTCACATCCACCCGTCGGATATCGGAAATCGCAGCCCTGTCTGTTAGAAAGGACCTCTGCGTTTTTCGCGCTGATCAGGTGGTTCTCCGACCTGACCCTACCTTCCTGCCCCAAGTCAACTCAGCTTTCCACAGAGCGCAGGAACTCATTCTCCCTAACTTTTGTCCCAGACCCTCACGGGATAGGGGAAGACAGTGGCATACCCTTGACGTGAGACGTGCGCTGCGTATTTACATTAAGCGCACTCAGCCCTTTAGGAAGTCGGAATCTTTATTCCTTTCATTCCAGCCCAAGACGCTGGGCTACAAAGTATCCCTGTCAACTATAGGCCGTTGGATCAGAGCTGCAATTTCTAGGTCCTACCTATCACAAGCCTTGCCGGTACCAGTGGAATAACAGCACATTCCACTAGAAGTGCAGCTACCTCGGCAGCTTGGGCCACTCAGGCATCGATAACAGACATCTGCCGGGCGGCCACCTGGGCATCCCCGTCACCCTTTATTAGACATTACAAGATCGACGTGTTTACCTCAGCGGAGGCTTCATTTGGCAGATGAGTCCTACAGCGAGTCCTCAGGGACCCAGAGGATATTCCGAACCAGACGGAGTCCCTCCCGTAGGACAGGCCAAGCTTTGGTATGTCCCACTCTGGATGCTCTGAGCAGCTCTATGGAGAAGGGGCGTTGGTTCTTACCTGATATGCCTCTTCTCGTTGAGCTGCGAAGAGCATCCAGCCCCACCCTAATTTCACCATCTGGTGGGGAATCTTGCTTCGGCCAATGAATCACCAAGGTAGTTAGGATGAGAACACTTTTTTTGTCTTCTCGTCTTCGCAAAACTGGGGAACGCTACGGTGGAGTCACGTGGAGGAGAAGGAGCGTTCCTCAATTCAAGCTCAGCCTGTGAGTGCAGAGACTGGAACACCTCCCACTCTGGATGCTCTTCGCAGCTCGACGAGAAGAGGCGTATCAGGTAAGAACCAACGCCCCTTTCACATTATCACCCATTCACCCATGAGAAAAAAAATATTTACCAATGGGCTGGATCCTGGATCAATGCTAGGACCCCGAATCCGTGTAGTCTCAGGGCGGCCACTGGGCCGGACACCACTGCAAAGAGAAAATAGGACTAAGAATACAGGAACCAGGAGCACTACTCAGCTGATCCTGAGGACACAGATAAACCTCCAAGTGCTGCAACGACCCTCTAAAACGGGTGTCAAACTCGATTTCATTGAGGGCCGCATTCAGGGTTGTGTTTGACCCTTGGGGCTGGGGTGGGCATGGCCAAGATGGGCATGGCCAGCTTGATGTCACTCATGTCGGGGGGACCTCTGGTGGCCTGAGCACTCTGCCAATGAAAATGAGCTCCTGAGCCCTCTGCCGGTGAAAATGGAGCTTGGGGAGCACATGGGGCCTCCCTGGGCCCCGTTTTTGGCCATGACAGCCTCCTGCAGCCCTCCGGGAGATCCATCTTCGCTGGCCCAAGTGCTTTGCCAGTGAAAATGGGCTCCCAAGCTCCATTTTCAGCTGCAGCAACGGCCTCCTGCAACCTTCTGCCAAATAAAACAGGACTTGGGAGGGCCGCTCCCAAGCACCATGGGCCAGTCCATCAGTATTTCCAGGGTGGCTCTGTGGGCCAGATCCCTGCTCTAAAAGGATGCAAATGACCAGCTGTCTGCAAGGAATATAAATCCTTCCATTCCCCACTATCCTGTCAGCTGAAGAAACGTCTTGGATGAAGCTTACTGGTCTTAAAAGAGAAAACAAGAAAGTCCAGTTGCCTCCTGAAAAAGCACCTTTGGGACAACGATGATCTGGATGACTGAGACTATCTACAAACAATAAATTAATAAATAATCTCTGAGATATCCCAAGCTTGTCTTGAATTCTGCTATCTCTACGAATTCCGTCCCTTCTGGACACTGATTCTCACCTGCTTTTCCTCCTTCGGCCACGTCTGGCGGGTCGCCTACCAGGAGGGCCCTAGAGAAAGAAATGGGTTAGAAGATAAGTATCCGTTTTGAAGGTGTCAGCTTCCTAAAAGTACTCCAGAACTGGCAATAAGACCCTCCACACAATTTGCTTCATTGGCAACGCATGGTTTCACAACCGTTTTATAAGGATCAGATTATTCATTCAATTTAAGGAAAGAGTAAAGCTTTCCTAAACTTTTTTTCATTTCAATCTAAAGACAAAGTGGGAAAATGTAAGTGCATACACAAAGAGACACCCATAATTAAATGCTCCCTCACGTAAGGTATGCACAATATTAGATAATCTGGCACATCGCTACGTGGTTCTCCTTTTCTCTACATGCATGGGTTTATACTTAATATTGTTAGAATGAGGGCAAGTTATTGAAACAGCAACACATACATACCTCCCCCATAGTCTGAAGAGTCCAAAATTCTTCCTGAGTAAGCTTTAGAATAGTCTTTTACTTTAAAACCAAAGTCCTCTGAAGAAGGAGCAATCAAAGGAAACAAAACAATGTTTGCGTTCACACATCACACTAAGCCATAATATCAGTCTTATCCCACTAGAAGCTGGTTATGACCTGCAAACCCTCCGCTATTTGCGCCTATAATCTAACCTAGGGGTGTCAATCTGGCGGTCTGCAGGCCGGAGGCGATGCTCAGCCCCACAAAGGGAAAAACATCGCGAAACATCACATGGCGGCAAATTGACGCAGCGAGTTTGACACCCATGATCTAACCAATCCCACAAGTTCCTCAAATAGGCTTCAACCTATGACCAAATCCCACAAGACCTCTATTAGGAGAGACTGGAGCACTAAATGCAGTTTCCCTCCAATTTGTTTACGTCTCACTGAGATGAAAAGCAGCAGCTTTCAATTTCTAAAAGCAAAGCCTCCTTGTTTGACCTCCATTTAGTGTGGAGTCAGCCATGTGTCGGAAGAGCCCAGGCCGGTTTCCAACAGTGCTGACATTAAATCTAAGACAGCTGGAGGGGTAGAAAGCACTGCGAGGATCAGGGGCAACCTGTGCTTTTAGAGTAGGGGTGGGGGACCCTGGCCCTTTTATGACTGGGGCAGTGGTGGGATTCAAATTTTGTTACTACCGGTCCTGTGGGTGTGGCTTGGTGGACGTGGCAGGGGAAGGATCCTGTAAAATCCCCAGTCAGAGGTGGTATTTGCCGGTTCTCCGAACTACTCAAAATTTCCGCTACCGGTTCTCCAGAACTGGTTAGAATCTGCTGAATCCCACCTCTGGACTGGGAGACTTCAACTCCCAGAATTCCTGAGCCAGCATGGCTGGGAGTTGAAGTCCACCAGTCATAAAAGAGCCATGCTACCCTGCCCCTGATTAGAGTGACATAAAACCCAAGCAGTTCTGGTTTGCAAATGAAAAGTTTAGCCTTGGTATTTATGATATATGAATCTTGCTAACTGTAGCTTACTTAACAAATCATGATTACGAAAATGATGGCTTAGCATAATGTATGAACCTAATCAATACTATGAAATCATCTGTCTATTGGTCCAATAAAAGAAAATAAACAAAGACACACCATGAAGCACTTTCTGGAGGACTATGGAAAAACTGGGCATCTTCCTAGCAGATCCGGACTGATGTAAAAAGAGCACTTAGGATGATACACAGCTAGTGCTCGACTTCTAACCATTCATTTCGTGACCAATCGAAGCTACCAACAGCATGGAAAACAATAATTTATGAGTGATCCTTATATACTGTCAGAGCATCCCCAGGGTCATGTGAACAAAACTGGGTGCTTGGCAACCAGCAGCCATTCACAACGGTTGACGTGTCGTATGATCCCCATTTGCAACCTTCTCAGCTGACTTCTAATAAACGATCAATGGGGAAAGCTAGATTTGCTGAATCAGCTGCACTGATTTGCTTAACAACTGTGGCATGCGCGCGCACACACACACACACACACATACACAAAACCCCTCGTAAAATTGGTCATGATTCTCTTAACAACTGCCTAGCTTAGCAATGCAAATATTAATCCCAATTGTGGCCAGTGTGGGACCCAGGGCTCAAACTGGAGTTATCATTCACCTAAAGAAGAGACCAACATAACTGCTTTGTGGACTAGATCAAAGGTCCTCCTGGTCCAGCACTTGGGGTTCGATAGAGTTGTCAATAAGAAAGTACCTCCAGAAAGCAAGTTTTTTTTTTTCCCTTTTGGAGTATCTGGACAATTGTGGTAAAGCAATTTCTCTATAATTTCCTTGAACTCCTTCCTTGTTCCATCCAAGCCGTCCCCCAACTGGGTACCCTTTAGTCATACTGAGACTACAACCCCCAGAATTCAGCCAGTTGGCTGGGAATCCCGGAGGATGCAGTCTCCAAACACCTGAAGGGTACCAAGTTGGAGAGGACCACTGAAACACTTCGACTTACCTTTATCTCCTGAACAGCAAAAGGACCTGCTTGGGTTTCTTCACTGCTAGCCACCATTTCCCCATTGCAACGCCAGGTGGGATGCGAGAGATGTCCTGCGCCCAACTCAGGAAGTTGTCCATTGAAGTGCCGCCTGCCCCGCCCCCGCCCGCCCCCACGACGTCCAGTCTTGCTGCCCCGGAGTGATCCGCGTGAAAGACTGCTGGCAGGGTCCCCATTCAGCTCTTCTGGGCTACATCTGAGCCGCTTGTGGGGGGAGTGGGAACCGCTGGCTTCTTGCCCTGAGGCGGCCTCCTGCTCCCCTTGCCTGGCTGGCTCAAGGGCTCTGGGCGACTCTAAGGCACTTGTGAGGGCAGTGTCCGTGCAAGGGGGCAAGATAGCCTGGTGGCTCGGCTCAGTCTCTGGCACAGGGAGCATGCTGGACAATGCTGAGGCTGGAGGCTCACTGGGTAGCACCAGTTTCTCTGGGGCACTGAAGCCAGTGCTTAGCTGGCAAACAGAAAGAGAAGAAACCTTCGTGAGATCGTTTCAATTTTCCCTGCGGCATTCAGAGGTTGCATCTCCAAAAGCTTTTCTGAATTTACATGCTGCCAAGAGGGCGGATATTCGGAATATTTACGTTGCTGTTTAATATTCCATTTCTTGGGACTTTCTTCCTAAAGACCATTATTATCACACTCCATTGGCTTATCCTGGTCCTTTCTCATCTTTTAACCTTTCAGAGAAACAACGTATTGGACAGAAGCCTGGCCTTTCTGTGGCTGGCTGCCTCTGACTCAACTGCGCTGCTCTTTTGCTGGCCTTTTCCCCCTGGCTCCAATTTTTTCTTTTCCTTTATCCTTTCTGTCTTACTTATCTAACTTTCTACTCCTTTTTTCCTCCCTCCCCCCGCTCCTTTTAGTTTCCTACTTAATTTAGTAACTTTTCTCCCTGTGATCTGATACTGCTTCCTCCGCTGCCGCCATCTTGAAGGAACAACTTGAACAAACAACGTCCAGTTAGTTCACACACACTTAAGTACAGCAGTAAACATGTCTCAGAATATATTGGTTTGTTTAGGAAAACTGAATCCCAACTGGGAATGAATAGGCCCAATAGAGGAGTAACGAGATTCTGCTGTCTCACGGCTTCGTTCACCCCTAAAACTTCTATGAGCCTCACTTTAATATTTATTCCACCAGTTATCGGAATCCTTAGTGGCCCTGGGTTCTGCTTGTTGCTTTTGAAAGCTACATTTGCCCTCCTCCATGACTTGACTTGATGAGGGCACCAACCTGGCATTATCACTGAAACCTGGGGGAGGCTCAAAGAAATATACCCATCTTGATTTCAGGTTTTGCCTATCCCGAAAGGGCAACAGGAAAGGTGGCGAATAAACTTCTCCACTTCATCAATTCCAAAGAAGGATGGGATGGGACACTGGAAAAAGCATCCTATTCTTGCTGGTATGTTCTTCTTTTGATGCAATCCAACAACAGTAACTTTGTGAAACCTTTTATTTATTTATATGCTCCTTGCCCATATAATTTATGACTTAGGCAGGAATGTATTCCAAGCTAGTCTTCCTGACAGCTGGTAATAAGGATCGGCTCTAACTTCCTTACAGCTCTGGAAGAAATTGATTTTATTCATTATTTGTTTTTTTATCGTCTGCCCATCTTACCATAGGATAACTCTGGGCGGCTTACGGTTACATCTTAGTTAAAACAAACGTGTTAAAATCAAACCTTAAAACCAAAGACACATGGGCAGGGCGGGAGCAGAGGGTGGGGGGAGGGAGGATCTGTTATTAATCAACTATCTCCACTGCGCTGATCCCCACAGCGGGGCCCCAAGCCGATTGGCACAGCCACAACTTTAGGCTCTTACAAAAAGATTGGAAGGTTGGGGCCAGAAAATTCTACTCCTTCTGCTATTGCCCACACAACAATTTGTTCACACTGATATTTGCACACTGGACAAGACTCTGATCACATTGGTTGATCAGTCAGGGATTGATAAATACAGCGGAGTATCACCTGCATACTGATGACCCGATTCTGACCAACAAATGCCCTCCCTCAGTGTCCTTGTATAAACAGGTGAGGTGAGAACATAAAGTCTTGGGGCGTTCTACAAATTGAAGTTTTCAGGTTCAACCCTTTCTTCCTCTAACAACTCATTTAGCAATAGAAATTTTGAGCTCAATTGTGGTCATAAGTCGAGGATTACCCGTAATAAAATGTATGCAGCAAAAAGATTAGACTACTCTCTTGATTTTATAACTGCACTCTGATCTAACTTTAAACAAGGCTAGCATTGTTTATGTTCTGCAAGGTGTGTTCTACAAATTGAAGTTTTCAGGTTCAACCCTTTCTTCCTCTAACTAAAATCAACAGGAACTGGCCACCCTATTTCTATTTCTTACAGCCACACGATATTTTAAATGTTTGAGGGAAGTACAACAGTATCCAACAATTGTCACAGGAAATACAGTAATGCCCAACATCTGTCAATCGTAGGTAGACTAGAGTAGAAAATTAACTCCACAAGGAAGACTAAAATTCCTTTTATTGTGATGGGTAAAACAACAGAATTTTGCCAGTCGGATTATGTAGTAGCTCCTCTTTCTATTTATACTTCAGTAAATTAAGAAGTGTCTAAGTCACTTCTGAATATTATCTCTCTGTTGTGGACTTAAAACAAGTTTCACTTTTCATTAAAGTAGCAACAGATCTTGCGTATCTCCATCTAGGCTGTTCTTGCTCTCTACTGTCAGATATTGCAGGAACTACTAGCCGAAGGTTGCTGTGTTTCTCTTGAAAATGTTAAATATAATGCAGCATCCCAGACACACATTTTGGGAACTTGGGGCAATGACAAAGTTACTAGGACACTAAGGATGTTATGAACTAAGAGAGTTTGAGAATCAGTGTTCTTCACAGGAGTTGATGTTGAGGAAGGAATCACTCTAAAAAGGATAGCCGGCTGGCAATCAGCCAATGCAATAAAACTGCAGAAATAATCAAATGTCACCAATCTTAATCCAACAGTTTAATCCCTCATTATGGGTCCTTAGGCATGCTCAGCTGGTTCACTTGGTTGTCTTCCTCCAAGGGTTCTCTAGGTTTCTCTGCTGACATTTCATCTTTTGGAGTTTCTTGGAAAATCTAGCTCCTCCTCATTCTCCCTCCGTGGGATTAGCAGTAACGTTTAGACTTGTATACCGCTTCACAATACTTTACAGCCCTCCCTTAAGTCGTTTAGAGTGTCAGCCTATTGCCCCCAACAATCTGGGTTCTTATTTCCCCAACTTTGGAAGGGTGGAAGGCTGCGTCAACCTTGACTCGGTGAAGATCGAACTGCTGGTAGTTGGCAGAATTAGCCTGCAATGTTGCATTCTACCCACTGTGCCACCATGGGTCCTCATTATTGTATGGTGAGAGGCTGCATAAGAACGACCAGGTCCAAGGCCCTCAATACCTGGCCATTCCAGGCACAAACAGAGGTCTCCAACATATGACCTACCAGACTCTCAGGAAAAACCTCATGTGTTGTCTGAAACTCCTTCAGGTTCATCAGGCACCTGGTGCAGATAGCCTAATAAGAGCTGTAGTGGCACAGTGGTTAGAATGCAGTACTTCAGGCTAATTCTGCAGGCTGCCGACTGCCAGGAGTTCGATCCTAACCTGCTCACGGTGGACTTAGCCTTCTATCCTTCCGAGGTCAGTAAAATGAGGACCATTGTTGTTGGGAGCAATAGGCTGACTCTGTAAGCTGTTTAGAAAGGGCTAGAAAGCCTGGTGAAGCGGTATATAAGTCTAAGTGCTATTGCTTATGGGTCATACCCTTTTGGAAGGAGAAGGGGAAATTGCACAGGCACACCAAAATAAGAGTGATCTAACCATGGCAAAGGCCTGGTGTAATGTACTCCTCCTTACATCATATCACAGCTACCCCAAGGACCAGAAACCAGATTTAATATGTGATGCTATTTGATGACTGGGTTGCCGTGAGCACCTTAGCCGTCCCAGATTCAGTACCATCAAGGGGAAGGTTAAAATCCCCAAAGACTATCAATCCCAAGGAATCAATCACTAACCTGGAAATTGAATCGATAGTCTTAATGAACTCCTTTGAACCACCATATATTGTCCTTACAGATATTAAACACACTTTTTTTTTGCTTCAAGCTTAATCTATGCACAATTACAATTTGCAGATGCACTACTCTTGAGTACATGTTTGGGAATGAAACCTGAATTTTGCATATGAGAGAAGAGCTAAGCCCTGCCCATTGCCCATCTACCCCTGAGGCTGATAGCGACACCCTGCTTACCTGTAAGCTCTGGAGGAGGCAAGCCAGGGGGTTGGAGCCTGCTAGTAAGGGCAGCTGTCCTTGGAAAAGCTGGATTCCGAGAGGCCCTTGCAGATTGGGTGGCAAAAGAGGCTGCTGAGCCTGGAGAAGAGGACTTCCAATCAACGAGGGGCCTGAAGCTGGATTCAGGGATGGAAGGTCACCTTCACATGGGCAAAAGGTGGGGGAGAAGGTCAGCTCTGCTGCTGGCATATAGCTGTCATCAGCACCAATCCCAAATACTTCCAGGGGTACTAGCAGTAGGCCTTTGTATACCTCCCCTCTCTCCTCCAAACTTATAGTGAACTTGCTGGAAGGTCAGGAGGATTTTATCCGCTATCCAATTTTGGCAAGTCAAGAAGGTATCTGAAAGAGACATCTATCTACGTGCACACAACTGCTTTCGTTTGTAAGGGATTAAAGCAGGCACATGGAGCTGAACTGAAAAATTATCCCTTTACAACTATTCCTGCACAGGCAGAAGTTGCGGCCAGTAAGTATAACTCTATTCCCTCTCCACCCAATCATATCAGCAGGGGAATGCCAAAAGGGCCTGTATAGGGAGAAGCAAATTGTTGGCATATCCGCATTGGGCAAAAGCTTTCCTCAAACTGCAGTTCTCCACAGATAGACCCTGCTTACTGATGCCTCAGTCAATGACGGTTCAAAGTTATGATGGTGTAGAGAAAACCAGCTTGTGCTTGTGACCAATCCTCACATTTATGACTACTGTGGCAACCCACGGTCACATGATTTGGGCACTCTGCAATCAGTGTACACTGCAGTGCTCCACGGTCACACGATGGCTATTTGTGTGCTTCACCACCGGTTTCTGACAAGCAGGATTAATGAACAACACAGGAGTAAAATCACCAGCCATGGTCACAGGATGCCTCACTTGATGACTGGAAAAATCGCTTAGCAACCAAAGAGGAAGTGAGATCCTAAGCTGGTCACAATAGCGCGGTTGGTCTCAATTGCGATTGATAAGTGAGGACATGCACAAGTCCAATTATCTCCTGCCAGGAAGAATCAGGTTGGAGAAACGAAGAGCAAAACTTTAGAACACGGGTGTCAAACTTGCCACGTCACGTTGCTGTCCCAGGATGTTTTTCCCATTCGTGGAACTGGAGTGGGCGTGGCCTGGGCGTGGCGCATCCGGCCCTTGGGCTGCCAGTTTGACACCCCTGCACTAGCACAATAGGACATCTGTGGGGGACAATCTCTTTCTGCTTAGGGGCAGAAATATCTTTCACCTTCCCAGGAGTTTGGCATCGGACAAGGGGATCATCAACTCACCCAGAAGTGTGGTACTCAGCAGCGGATTGACAAGCTGGGGCAATATGGGATTCAGCCGCCCAGAGACACAGGGGGTACCCTCAGTAGTTGTCGGTGTGGTGTTAGTGGAGGTAGGTGCCACGGGAGTGCTAGCCAGGCCGGTCTGGGATGGAAGGACAGGAAAGGTCTGAGACAGGAGAAGAGCCATCAGGAGAAGCCGCTCGCACGACTTCAGGAGAGAACTCAAAGCTGTTGCTCAGGCTCAGCCACCAGGTTTGACCCTATAAACAGGGTTTCTATCCTTTAAAGCAGGCGCGGAGCTCTTTAAATATTGGTTCTTTCATTATCCAACAACTAGTTCATAACACTCAATGCGTCTCCTTGGAACCACACTTCCTTAATACATAAAGTCAACAGATCAGTATTACCTCCACAGTAGCTGGATATGCCCTGCGAAGGCTTTGCTAAAAAGCAACTATACTCCTTCCAACCTTTCATGTTCCTAAGACAGCCTTCAACCTACGATCCAATCCCACAAGATCTTTATAACGAGGGATGCACTTCCCATCCGATCCCGCCGCATCTCGATGAAATTTAAAAAAAAAAACCCTAAAAGCAACTGGCCTCTTGCGTAACCTTCTTACCTGTGTAGGGATCGGTCCTGTGTCAGAAGGGCCCAGGCCGGTTGCCAACAATGCTGAATTTAAAGCTAGGACAGCTGAAGGGGTGGAAAGTGCTGGGAAGAGCAGGGGCTGCAGAGTTTCCGGCAAGCCGGCGAAGGGCTCCAACAATGGCTCCGTGGTCGCCGCTTCCCTCTGCCCTTCGCAAGCCGCCTCTGGCAGCGCCAACAGGGATGCCAGGAGCCCACTTGGCTGCTGTAGCAAATCCAGGCTGGGCAGCACCAGAGGCAACAGGGGCTGTCCGTCTGGCTCCTCCTGCAGGTTAAGAGGGGGAAGTGGTGTCTCTGGGCCCAAGGTCAGCGAGAAGGGGAAGGAGCCCAGCGGGAACAGCCCAGGAGGTAGAGCATTCCCAAACGGCAGTGCTTGCTCCTGTGCCAGGAAGGGGAATGGATCGGGGCCTGCGGGCAGCGGGCAGCCCACGCCCCCACCTTCCACTGTGCTGGTGGTGAGAGTAACAGGGCTGGGGGCGGGAGGGGCTTTGGGAGTCATGAGTGAAGCCGAAGCAGCAGCAGCAGCAGCAGCAGCACCTGGAGGAAAGAAAACAAAGGCATCACCAATCACAGGAATGGCCACACCCCTGCCTCAAGGGATGCTTGTTCCCAGAATGCACTGCGCTTGGGAGAAGCCCTTTTGCAAAACCTCCAAGCCCGAATGGTCATCGGTAGCCAAACTCTCAGCAGACACTTGTTCCGCTTAATTCCTTACACGAGTATTTAGAGTGGACAACGTAGGCTTGCGAGCAACGTTTTGGGATGCCGGTGTTCCTGAATAATTAAAGGGACATGCAGGGTGGAAAATTCATCCCGGTGCAACTTTCTAGAGCGTGGGTGTCAAACTCAAGGTCTCCGGTCTGAATCCGGCTTACATCTGGCCTGCAGGGCCACCCTGGAAACAGGGCCTGCGGTGCCTCTACCAGTGAAAATGGAGCTTGGAAGAGCCATGCGCAGCCCCCATGAGCTCAGTTTTTGCTGGCAGAGGGCTGGAGGCCATCGCAGCTGAAAACAGATGTTGAAATGGCCACACCCCACGTCCTCCCCCCCGCCCGAGGTCAAACACAACCCTGATGCAGCCCTCAATGAAATCGAGTTTGACACCCCTGTGCTAGGGGCTTAGGAGTTTCATCCTTTCTACCCTTCAGCCTCAGAGTTAGTTAATTGTGCTTGAATAATTCTAATTTAATTCAGAGACCAGTAAAATCTTTTATAAGTATAGGTCACCACTGAGGTATGTATCAGTCAACCATTTGGTCTTGCCTGCTTCTCCTTTGATGAGGCATCAACTTTTAAGCCTGAAGTTTTGTAGGCTTTGCTTTTGTTGGAAAAGGCCTTGAGGTTGGGAAAGATTGAAGGCAAAAGGAGGAGGGGATGGCAGAGGATGAGATGGTTAGATAGTGTCATTGACACAATGGACAAGGATTTGGGCAAATTCTGGGAGATAACAGAAGACGGGCCGTGCTGTGGTCCAGGGGTCGTGAGGAGTCAGACATGAGTGAGCAACTTCAAAAATACTTTGTTTGGGTTGACAGGATTGGTTCTGAGCACTGATTTGCAAAAACACAGTTTTTGGGTTAGCATAGTATAAACCCACTCGACTGTAGCTTATTCAGCAAGCCTTAATTAAAACAAAAGTGGTTTAATATAACACATGAATCCAATCAATGTTTGTTTTACATTATAATTATGTGTGTTACTAGGGCAGCATTGGAGAGCTACTTTTCTCAAATGTTGTTTTCCTTTTTTTAATTTTCCCTACTATGAATGACATTGTTTGGGGGTATGTGGGGTGGAGAATGCACCTTCTACACTTGTCCCCATGATGGAGGGAGAGGGGAATATATTAGACAGAACGGGATAGTGTTAATGGTAGGACTAACCACTCCTCACCACTGCTCCTCCATTCCTCAATCTGTAAGTTTCAAGACGGGAAGATAAACAATTTAACTGGCACATCTAATCTGATAGTAAGAATCAGCAATTTATCTAACTGCAAAGGATTAAACCATGGCTAGTTGTTCACTGTGCCGCACCACAACAAAGGCTGGTTTGAGTAAACTTTTACAGAATGGAGTATACCGTTCTCCCATAGCTATTTCTGTCTGTATAACCTTTTACAAAACAAAGGCCCATATTCAAATGCCCGGTTAATGGGCACCTCTGATTATTTGGTGCCCACCTCCTCCATTTTGTACATATTTCTTTTGCCCAAACATTAGCCTGTTGTAAACATTATTCAAACCAAAATCTGTAACTGGAGAAAAGCCTTCATTATAAATTCAGGATTGCATAGCCTGAACTTTGCATGATCAGAAAGGATCAGACGGCAATCCAGCTTGGGCAGGGCCTTTTGCTTCAGCAGAGATAAGATCTGTTTTCCCTGGCCAAGAAAAGGAGGCAAGACATGACTGCCATGGGGCCAGCAATTCCCTGCCTTTTTAAATTTCCCTTAAAAGAGAATAAGCAGCAAACTCTCCAGGCACCTCAGACAGCTGTCACTCAGCTGCAGCTCCCAGTCTGGGGAAAGACCAAAAAACTCGAGGAAAGCTACCTCCACCTCCATGTAGAGACCTACCTGGGGGTCCATGGGATGCAAGCGGGGAGGTGGGAGGTTTCGGCTGTGGGGAACTCCCTGAGATCTGTTCGGAAGACGTGGAGGCCAGCTGACCAAAGAGGCTGAGGAGTTGGCTGTTGAAGTCCTGGAAGGGCGGCAAAGAATTGGGGCCGTCGCCAGCAGGGACCTGGAGAAGTGGAGGCAGGCTTGGCGTAGGTGAACTCCCGGGAGGAGCCAGCAGACTGAGCAGAGAGGCCAGCGGCTGTACCGGGGTGGCTGCACTTGGGGGTCCATTCTTGGCCTCTCCTCCGGGAGGCTGGTCCCGAGGCCAAGGGTGTCGGGTCAGTGCCTCCTCAGGGTGGGTGACCCCCGCCTGCCCTGCGTGGGAATCCTTGAGCAGGCGCAGGACAGTGGGGGAGCGACGTTGCCGCCGAGGTGTCCGCCCGCCCACCACTGACAGCAGCAAGCGGTTGGGTAAAGTGCTGGCAGCCAGCTCGTCGGGACGCCCCCTGCTGGCCAGCTGGGCCTTGGCGGCTGCGCTCAACAAACTGCTGGCTGGGAAAGAGCCTGGGCCCTGTGGAGGAAGGAGCAGCAGGCCAGGCGGCCCTTTGCCTTCTGGGGCAGCTCCTAAGGGCACTGAGGGCAGGTTATTGCTGCTTTGGTTGGTTAAGGCGTTGGTCGGGGGTGCTGCGTCCAAGCTGGAGGGCCTGGAAGCCAGGCGGTATCCAGAGGGGCCCTGCTCAGAGGAGGTGGATGAGGGCCGTGACCGCTGTGGAGAAGGCTCAGCGCTGCCTGCTGATGAAGAAACGGAGGAGAGGCTGGTGGGGGCAGGCGAGCCAGCAACACTGGCTTGCGACCCAAGAGGGACGGAACGACCACTCCAGGGGCTGCTCTCTTGACCAGACCCCACCTCATCCAGCAGGGGGAAGAGGAAACTGTTGGATGAATAGGGCCGGGGCGAGGCATCTGCTGAGGTCTTGCTGGGTGGAAAAGATCCCCCGGCAGCATTCAGTTCAGACGGGAAGGCTGGGCGGGCACTGCCATTGACAGTGGCCGGCAGACGGCCTGGGAAGCCATCCGCAGAGAAAGTGTTGTGAAGGCGGGGAAAGGAAGAGCTTGGACCAGACCAGGCACTTCCATAACGATCAGAGGAACATTGCAAGGAGAGATCTGACCCCTTGGGCAAGCTGGTTGGAGCTTTGCTGGAAAGAGTCTGCTGCAGGCAAGTGCTAGGCCCTGGCATGGCCGGGTGAGATGGCAGAGTCATTCCAGCCCCTGTAAATAAGAGGAAAAGGTGATTATTCTCCAAAAGGAAGGAAAAAAAAATAGGAAGCCCCAATTTATACCAAGAGGCTGGCTAGCTGCTTCGATGGAATGAGAATGCAGAAGATTGGATAGGTGGGGGTGGGGGTGGGTGGGAAGGGGGGAACCACCCTAAAATCAAGCTTCCTTTAAACAAATTGGGACATCCAAGTTTTTCCACCTCAGCAATAAAATAGAAAAACCTACCATCACATTTCACACCTTCAGAGGCCTCCTTGGTCCCCATTTTAAGACACAGGGGTTTTTTTTACAGTTGTAGCACTAAGGCCATTATTGTGGAATTATTACTATCAGTGGTATTATCATTGTTATTTATGGTTTTTATTTTTGTTGCTTGTTGCTTTTAATACTATGCTCGCCACCCAGAACCACAGCTGCAAGCCATATTAAATCAATAAGATTATTGTAAATTTTATAAAAGAAAAGGAGGAAGGAAGGAAGGAAGGAAGATCTCAGCATGGCTTCTGTTTTCAAGGTTAATCCAGAATTCTTGATAGGCAGCAAATACATTTTATAGAGATAGATGGATGGATGGATGGATGGATGGATGGATGGATGGATGGATGGATGAGAGGGAGGGAGGGAGAGATCTTGGCATGGCTTCTGTTTAGAAGGTTAATCCAGAATTCTACTCAGACTCTTGTTTACCCCAAGCAAGAGACCAGATGAGAAGAACAGGTGAAGAAGAGATGTACAAACAGAAAAACAAACCAGGCCATTCATCAAACAACACAAGTTACCTGGCCCCAGGTGTGGCAGGCTGAGGGGTCCATGGGTCTCCATGCTGCGATAAAGTGTTGCCATCGCCACAATTTTCCGCCGGTGATTGCAGAGCTTGGTCATGTCTTGGTCTCCCTTGCTGCCTTCACTCCCAATCACCATCGCTGCAGGGTCGAAGTTGAAAACCTAACCATAACGGGGAAAGGTTTAATGACTGAACACCCAACCCTTCCCTCAACTGACAAAAGTGCTAGGGCAGGAATTCGCCTGTTCTTTGGTTCTTCATAGTTGGGATGTAGCTGAATATCAGAAACCTCATGAGTTTCTCAGAAGGACTTTCCACTGGTTTCAGGGAGATTTAAGTGGAGGAGCCTAACCTCCAGCCCCTGATAACACATGCTATGATCAATTAAACCTGTGTTTAACCTGAGTGAAATGTAACCCAACTGAGTATTGTCTAGGCTCTTACTTTTCTGAGCGCAAGCCACAGCAAGCTACTCAAAGACCAAGTATGGTGCTTGGCTTGGAAGAAGTTGCTTTCCCTGGCTTTAAGGGTGAGCGGGACCACAAAGCATTCTGCCTTCCTAGTCAAACGTGTATGTTTGAATTAAAATAAAAGAGCATAAAATGAACCATTTAAAAAAGGAGATTCAAATCGACAGTTAAAAAGACAAAATGGAAGAGTGTGTTTTGATTGCTGTTATAAAGAAGGGGGTTTAAATGAAATTGTTCAAAAATGCTATTCCACCACTTGGCTCAGTCTTTTTTTTTGGCCAGTTAAAAGAGGCTGAGAGTAGTTAGTGTGTGTGTGTGTGTGTGTGTTTAGAAGAGCCTCTCCCGCAGACCTTAATTGCCAAACAAGTATATCATGAGTGAGGGAGTCTGCCTGATATTAATAAGTCCTCCCAAAGCATATACAGTAGTTTAGTTACTCCTCAAACTGGTGTCCTCCAGATGTGCCATAATTCAGTTTTCATATATACTTCCAACCAACAGGCAAGATTACAGAAGCTGGAAAGCTAAGGTGGTAAATCATGTACTTAGTTGATCTATCACCTGACTAGCAAGAAATATGTCCCAGTGATAAATCACATGCTTTGCATGTAAATGTTCCCAGGCTCCATTCCTGCCACCTGCACAAAGACTGAGAAGGACACCTGGCTGAAACTAGAAAGCTCTAATCAGCCAGCTAGAAAACCTAGAAGGGCCCACTGATTTGCTGTCACAGTTTCCTACATGTCTTGCTACGTGTTATTAATCCCTTATGCTTGAGGGGATTTGTTTCCACTTGGGCAAATAAAAAAAAAATTCTACCCCAGAATCTCTCAACATTCAGATACTAATCAGCTTCTCCCTTAAGCCCTCGCTACCTTGTGCACGTTGAGGGGACACTCCAGCCCACACTTGCAAGTGCCGTCCGCCAGCAGATACGCACGAGTCTGCTCCAATGAAGCCAAGCTTGTCCCGCTAGGACTAGGAGAAAGAAAAGAGGGACAGGCCAGATTAGCACGAAAACAACAGTGGAGAGAGCAGGGGAGAAAGAAACACATAGTCGAGGGCAGGCTGTACCTGATATAGCACACTCTGCCCTCTTCCACCCTGCGCTGCCAGCCCACAGGCACGGGTGTGACTGCCGGGCGCCCACCTCGATCCACACCAGAGCAATCATCGCCGCCATTCATTGTGCTCCCTCAGCTCTTGGGGACCTGGAAGAACCCGTGGTGGTTAGGACGTAAGGCACCATAGTGGTCAAAGAGCATCAAGAGCAGCAGTAGGAGAGGATCCTCGCCACCGTAGTATTAGTGGGGGGTGGAAATGTAAGAGATGGGTGACCTTAGTCCCAAGAGCTGGGGCTATATTCTAAGCTGAAAAGGATGAGGCCTACTTGCGCAGGCCTGACAGCACTGAGGAGCTGTGGAGTCTTTAAGGCATCTGCTACCTTTACAAACAAAACATGAGATTTCACCCTTAGCTTTGCTCAAAAACCTGCCATCTGAAACTGGGTCCCCACCTCTATATAAGTTTCCCAACTCCCCAGGTAAACCCTCTGGCAGAATAAACAGCCTGCCACTGAGCCTTTCCTATCAGGGAAAGGTGAGATTAGCTCTAGGACTGCAAGAGGCTTTGTGTCATGGGTAAGAGTTATTATTAGCTGAGCCAGCAACAGAATGGCTTCGGGCCAAGCTACACAAACCAACAGAATCACACTTTGGGGACTCCACCACCTCAAATTCCAGGTAGGAGGAAGTCCTGTTTTCTTTTACAACTGATTTTTTTTTTTTTTTTTTATTATATATAAATTTTTATTATTTTTTTAACATAAAAAACACAACAACAAAACATAAAAGTATCAGCTCCCCCATATTTTTGTACACACCGTAAGTCGGTTGGTCCATCGGTTTTGTGCATTCACCTCATAGTCACAATTACAATTACTTTATATAATACTCTTATCAATACAAATTTATAAATCCTAGTATCTCTATTAAAGAAAAAAAAAAAAAAATTGACTAAACTTTTATTCGGTCATGCCTTTATGAGATAACTATATTTTAAATATTTTATTCTAAAACAAATCTTATAATCATACCAATTCTATCCCAAATATGAAAAAGAAAGAAACAAAGAAAACTATTATATAAATATAGTATCAAAAACCAATAAAAGGAAAGGGAAAATAAAGTCATTATTATTCCTTATTATCTAACTTTTATATTTTAATATTTCATCATTCAACCATTGATAGAAAAGATCCCAAACTAAATAAAATTGTTTATCTTCTTGCTCTCTAATTTCAAAAGTCAATCTAGTCATCTCAGCACATTCCAAAATTTTCTTTACAACTTCTTCTTGCAATGGAATTTTCTCATTTTTCCAATTTTTTGCAAATACAATCCTAGCAGCAGTCAATACATTTACAATCAAATATTTCAACTCTTTACTATAAGTATCTGGTAGTATTCCCAATAGAAAAAACTCCGGTTTCAAGTCTATATGCTTCTTTGTCATTTTTTCCAGCCACATGTGGATTTTAGTCCAATATTTTCTAGCATCCTCACAAGTCCACCACATGTGATAGTATGAACCAGGTTTCTGATGACATTTCCAGCATTTTTCGGATTTGTTCTTAAACATTCTTGCTATCCTTGTCGGGGGAAAATGCCACCTGTAAAACATCTTATACAAGTTTTCTTTATAGGCTGTAGACATTGTCATTTTATAATTTTGCGACCATAATTTCTGCCATTTCTCTAAATCAATCCCATATCCAAAATTCCTCCCCCACGCAATCATAGTTTCTTTAACTTGTTCTTCCTCAAGCTTAATTTGCAATAAATAACCATACAATTTTTTAATCACCTTTTCATCAGTACCCATCAAAATCTTATCCAAGTCAGTTTGCTTATCATAAAATCCCTCTGCTTTGGAATCCTCATAGTACTTTGAATATATTTGCAAATATGAAAACCAATTCATCCGTATACCTTGTTCTTCCAATTTTTGCATCGATTTAAGTTCACCCTTTTCATCTAATAATTCCCCATAGTTAACTGTTTGTTCCTTTTTATAGATTATAGGATAAGAAAACGCTTCTATCGTCGATAACCAAACTGGAATTTTCAAATAACACTGTTTTTTTATCTTCTCCCAATTCAACCACAGAGACTCCCGTATATAATGCCTTCTAAAATACCCCTGTGTTTTAGTTCCCTTGTACCATAAAAAAGCATGCCAGCCCAACAACAAATCATGACCTTCTAATGTCAACAATCTGGTTTTCCTTAATGTTATCCATTCTTTAACCCACGTCAAGTTTGCAGCTTGGTAGTACAACTCCCAATTAGGCAGTCCAAACCCTCCTCTAAATCTAGCATCCTGTAAAAGCTTTAACTTTATTCTTGCTTTCTTACCTTGCCATATATACTTCAAAACAATTTTATTTAAATCCTCAAAATATTCTTTTCCAAGCCTAATTGGTATTGTTTGAAACAAAAATAAGACTCTGGGTAAAATATTCATCTTAATTGTTGAAATCCTTCCTATTAATGACAATTGTAAGTTCTCCCATTTTTTCAAGTCTTGAGCTATCTGTTGTTTAAGTTTAATATAATTATTCTCCTTCAATGTACTACATCTTGATGTCAAATATATCCCCAGATACTTAACCTTGTTTGTAACTTGAATTTTTAACAGTTCTGCCAACTCTTCCCTTTGTTTCAGCAACATATTCTTTGACAAAATCTTTGTTTTATCTCTATTTATTTTCAAACCAGCCACCTCCCCATAGACCTCTATCTTTTCCAACAGTTTCGAGGCTGTTTCTATAGGGTCTTCCAAGATAAAGACTAGGTCATCTGCAAAGGCTTGTAGTTTAAATTCTTCCTTTTTAATTTTCATTCCTTTTATAGTTTTATCTTCTCTGATATTTCTATTCAACACTTCCAAAGTCAATACAAATATCAAGGGAGAAAGAGGACAACCTTGTCTTGTGCCTTTTCTTATATTAATAGGATCTGTAAATTCTCCCTCCATCATTACCTTAGCTGTTTGTTCATTATAAATTGCTTCTATTGCCTGAATAAATCTTCTAGCAAAGCCCATCTGTTCCATTAAAAGTAACATAAATCTCCAATTCACGTTATCAAATGCCTTTTGAGCATCTAAAAATATCAAAGCCATTTGCTTTTCAGGATGTGCCTCATAGTATTCCAGGGTGTCCAGAATTACTCTCATATTGTCTCTGATTTGTCGCTTTGGCAAAAACCCATTTTGGTCTGGGTGGATAAAGTTATTCAAGTACTTTTTAAGTCTTTCTGCTAATATTGAAGCAAAAATTTTATAATCTGCATTTAGTAAAGAAATCGGTCTATAATTCTTGATTTGCAGTAGGTCCGCCTCCTCTTTTGGAATAAGTGTAATGTAAGCCTCTGACCATGTTTTAGGTATCATCTTTTTTAACATAACTTCATTCATAACTTCTAACAGTGGAATACACAGTGATTCTTGAAAGATTTTATAAAATTCTACAGGAAACCCGTCTGGACCTGGTGCCTTTCCATTATTTTGTTTCTTAAGTGCTTGACTTAACTCCATCATTGTTATATTACTTTCTAGCATTTCTTCAATCTCTTTAGGTATCTTAGGTAGATTTGCATTCTGTAGGTATTGTTTAACTTTCTCCTCGTCAATGTCTTCTTTCTTATACAAATGCTTATAAAAATCATAAATAATCTCTTTTTTTTCTTTGCTGCCATAACAAATTTTACCTTGGTCGTCTATTAACTGCGGTATTTTCCTCGACTCTTTCTCCTTTCTCAATTTGTATGCTAGCCATCTACCTGGCTTATTTGCATCCTCAAAATAATTCTGTTTAGCATTCCTAATTTTCTGTGCCAGTTCTTCTTTCTCTATTAAATCCATTTTATGTTTAGTTATATCCAGTTTCATTTTAACATCTTTTCTGTGTGGCATTTTCTGTAATTCTTTTTCAAGTCCCTTATATTCATCATCCAAGGCTTTAAGAGTTCGCCTTTTCCTGTTGTTCTTTTTTCTTGTATAGTCTATTATCAAGCCTCTAACATAGGCCTTCATTGTGTCCCAAACATTCTGTATTGAGGTGTCTTCTTTTCTGTTCTCTTTAAAGAAGAAGGCCAATTCTTTCTCCATCCATTGTATAAATTCCTTATCCTTTAAAATAGAATTATTTAATGTCCATCTCGATCTTTTCCTTTGTCCCTTCCATTCAATTGTCAATGGGTTATGGTCAGCCCAAGTACTTGTTTCAATATTTACTTCTTGAATACTAGACATTAAATCTGTTGAGATCCAAATCATATCCAGTCTGGACCATGATAGATGCCTATTTGAATAGAACGTAAATTGCTTAGATTTATCATTTCTTTCCCTCCATATGTCTTTTAAAGTTAATTCATCTATCATTTTAAAAAAGGATTTAGGAAGAGTTTTCCTGTTATGCTTTACTGTTGTTGCAATATAGTCAAGTCTATTATCCACAATTCCATTAAAGTCTCCCATCATAATTACATTAGCATAGTCAAGTTCGGCAGTCTTAGTATGTAATTTTCTATAGAATTCTTCCTGTTTATCATTCGGTGCATAAATTGCAATCAAAAGTATCTTTCTATTATTGTCCATTATTTCTACCATTAATATTCTCCCATCATCATCTGTATAAATCATTTTTGCTGGAATGGCCTCTTTAATATATAAAACCACCCCTCTTTTCTTGGATTGTGTCAAAGAGGTAAACAATTTCCCTAATTTTGGTTGTAATAACAATTGTTCATGTTGCTTTTTAATATGAACTTCTTGTAAACAAATTATGTCGAACCTTAATTTCATTAATTTATGGAAAATCTTCCTTCTCTTAGCAGCTGAATTCAGTCCATTTATATTCATTGTAATCAATTTTTTTTCTTCCATAATTATGTTTTATATTTAGATTTAACCACTCTCGTGGGTCTTGCCTCACGTTGATCTTTAATATCCACTTGTCCACCTACTGCACCTTCTTCTTTTCCAACCTCCATTTGTTCCTCTTGAGATTCAATTGATGGGACCTCCTTTCCTGCTCCTCCTTCTCTGCCTCCAAAAACCTCTGCGCAAAACAGTTCTGCTTTCTCAATTGAATCAATTCTATGTCTCTGTTCCTGCCACGTAAACATCAATCCTTCTGGAATCAACCACCTGTAAGACACCTCTTTTTCCAATAACCTTTTAGTCAGGAATCGGTATTCTCTTCTCATCTCTCTCACTCTTCTAGGTATTTGTTTTAAAACCAAAATTTCTTTACTTTTGTATTTCAGTGGCTTCTCTCTTGCTACTTGCAATATTTGTGTCTTCAAGGATTTTTTAATAAATCTAATATGAACTTCTCTGGGTAGGTTATTTCTCATCGCATATCTTGTAAAAACTCGATATATCTCATCAATTCCATCCATCATCTTCTCTTCTGTTATCTCGAGCGCCTCCGCCAAGATTCCTACCATTATCGCAACCAAATCTTGTCCTTTTTCTTCTTCTATATTTTGGAATCTAAGATAAAATTCTGATCTATCCAACTCCCACTTCAACATCTCACTTTTTTCTTGTTCAATCGCTGTTAATCTATTGTCGATATTTCCAATTTTCTCCTCTCTTTGTTTGCCTCCCTCTTCAACATTTTGGAGTCTCTCTTCATATTTTTCCATCATCTGTTCCATCCTACCTGTTCTTTGTTCAATAGTATCCATTTTTACCTTAAGATCTTGAATTCCTTGCATAATCATCTGGAAGGATACTCTTTCTTGTTCTTTTTCTTTCTCTTTATCTTGCTTTAACAATGTCTGAATTGAACGCTGTCCAGATGGTGGGGAGGCAGAAGCAGACATAGAGGCACCCGAAGATATAAATTTCTTACTCATTTTAAGTGGTTCCAACTCTTCAAGTTTTTTCAAATTTTAATCCACAAAAAAAAGAGAAAAAAATATGAAATTTTAATCCAAGGTAAAAAGGCCAACAATAAAAAAGCCAAAAGTGAGAGAAAAAAAGAAAAAAAGAAAAAAAAAATTCTTCAAATTCTTCCTGACCTTAGTCCAATTAAAAAAAAAAAAAAAAACCATAAAAAAAAGTAACAGTAAAAATAAAAACCCAATAATAATAATAAACAAGACAAAGCCAAAAAGGAAGAAGGGAAGAAGAAAAAGAGAAAAAACAAAAAACAAAACAAAAACCAAGAAAAATAAGTTTCTTCAGATTCCACACCTTAGTCCAGCCAGAAAAAAAAAAAAAAGAAAAAAGAAAAAACCTCAATTAAAAAAAGGAAAAAGAAATAGTCCGCTAATGTACATTAAAAAAAAAAAAAAGGAAAAAAGAGAAAACAGGATCCAAATAGGCAAAAGAAAAAATAAAATCAGTTAAATCAAAATAAAATATAAGTAGAAAAAAGAAATTCAGAGGCTTCCCTTTGCAAATAAATCAAGCTTAAAAGTCAGGACCTTGATGTTAGTGAAGGGGTTGGCAGAACTCAAAAAAAACAACAACACTGCACTCTATTTAATTATCCAAGGCTCTAATTATAACTCCCTTCTCTTTCCCACAAGCTTCAAAGCTGAGCCATGTATATCCAGAAAGACACCTGTAATAATATTCCACAAAGTGCTTTCCTCTATCTTATCAGGGGATGTCCTTGAGAAGAAGAGTCTATTTTTCTTTTTTTTAAATATTTCCGAGCCTCTAGGTGGCAGTGTTACAAAGTATCATAGTTCTCACTTTCCCCCCTCCTCTCTTAAGGGAAAGCCGGCTTGCAATACACAAAACAAAAACCGAAAAATCAAACAAAATCAAGAGAAGCCTCTAGCCCAGAAAAAATAAAAATAAAAAGTCCAGAAGAAGAATAAAACATATGAATATATAGAAAAAAGAAAACAGTCCAGTTATCCAATAAGTAACAATAGAGTCCGGAAGCAAAGAAAAGAAAAAATGGATTCTCTCTTTGACGTTTCCCTAAAAAAACGCCGCTAAATCAATTTTGTCAAAAAACAAAACAAAAATCACACAGGTTTCTTCAGATAATTAGAGTAAACTTTCCAAATTCAAAAAATTAAATAAAAAAAAGAAGTTCTCACCCAACCGACAAACTCTTTCTCAAACTCTTTCCGTCTGGAGTCGCCCCGGCCTCAGCAGCATGGGGGCTGCCTCTCCGCCGCTGGCAAGAAGAGCTTCACCCGGGCTCTCCAGGGATTTTGCGGTATCCCCGGAATCCTCAGGATATGCTCTTCACGATGGCTGTCCCTACGGGACAGCGTAGGTCCGTTGGACCGGCCAGTGGCGGAGATATCGGCTGCAATCGAAGAGCTCGATTGCAGACCGTATCGCCACGGCGCAAGCTCCTCCCATCTCCCTGATTTTTTTTTTTAAAAAAGGATAATAACAATAGCTCCCAATATACTTCCCTGCTAATTTATACAGTCCAAAGTGGTACAGTCATAGAAGAGTTCTCTCCTAGGATTCTATTCTAAAATTCTGGGGAGAGGCAGAAAGGTTGGGTTCATTCAAAAGAAAGAGAGCATATAAGTAACTGGAAGAGAAGAAAAGAGGGAGACAGAAAGGTGGCACTGCAGAAGGGTGGCACTAGGACACAAGTAAGACAAGACTTAAACCAGCAGGAAGATCTGAAGGGAGTCAGAGAAACAGATTTACATTATCCAAGTCCCATCACCCTCTCCTCTCCCAATTGAGCGGGCTCTGCCCTATTAAAGAAAATTAGGAGAGTCATGAAACAGTAAACAGCTGGCTGATCCTTTAATCCAGCTCTACTATGCAGATGGCTCCTACCTGCTCATGGCTGCAAACCTCGCGGCAGGCGATATTAAGGCTGGGTGTGTTCCCTTGAGTCACTCATAGTCAGTCCGGTGGCCTCTCTTCTGAGAATCCAGATGGTGTCCTGTCCAGTAAGCTCGCGCCACTCAGGAGCCACACTAGCCTACCCCTGGAAAGGAAGGAGAACATGACTCAAGCGAGGAGAAAGAGGGAAACAAGATTCTCTACAATGGTTTTGATAGAAAATAACTGGGTCAAATACTTTTTGGGGGAGAGATATGGGGGTGGGGGGCTAATGTTAGAACACCATTCTAATGTGCTACTATTCCAGTCTGGGTTAGTAAAAGTTCTTGTTACTTTAAAACGAATCGCATTTTACTATTTGGTGTGGTACAAGGAAGTGATAGATAAACGCCCAAAGAAAACAAGGCCTACCATTAGATTCTTCATTATTATGGAGGATTAAAATCCCAGTTTAAAGGGCGGGGGCGGGGGGGAATGGCATATTTGCCAACTTGAATGTAAACAGAGATTAAAATATAAGGTCGTGGCAATCCTTGAGGACTGACTGCATGTATTGAAATATATGATCCATATTGTACACCATCGGATCATGCTTTGTGAACATAATCTGCACAAATGTAAATCCATAAGAGACAACAGTCTAGAGATAGTCAACTTGGAATACACAGATATTTTGGATAACAGTTCCCGTATGCCACACAACCAGTTAACGTGGCTAGAATCAGGGATTCTGGGCATTACAGCCCAAAGTGGACTACAATGGGGGAACCACCAGGTTATCTCCTGTTCTTGGACTAGACCAGGGGTGTCAAACTCAATTTCATTGAGGGCCGCATCAGGGTTGTGTTTGACCTTGGGGGGACGTAGTCAGGGTGGGCGTGGCTAGCTCAATGTCACTCATGTCAGGGGCACCTGTGGTGGCCGGAGTGCTCTCCCAGCGAAAATGGGCTCCCGAGCTCCTGCAACCCTCTGGCAGTGAAAATGGAGCTCAGGTGGGCCACCCGTGGCCGTCCCAACCTCAGTTTTTGCTGAGGGCAGTCCCGCGGGCCAGATCTAAACACCTTGCAGGCCAGATTCAGCCCCCAGGCCTTGAGTTTGACACCCCTGGACTGGACTATATCACTGCAAATTTTCTTAAGTAAACATGCAGGAGAATCCAGGTTCAACCTCTGGCATATTCAGCCAAAAAAAATCTTGCCTAAAACATTGGCAAAACACGGCCGTTGATAATACAGTACTATACTGGATTAGTTGGACCAATGGCCTGATTTAACATAACACAACTTTCTATATTCCTCCTGGCAAATAAACATTTAACCAATGAGAGGAAAGAGTTTCAGTCCAGCCCATTCCACGTTGCATGCAAAAACCAGAAATCCTCTCCAATCCAGAATCCCTAAGAATCCCTAAGTGCATGACTTATAATGACTGGCATAAAAGCAAACCAATGGCCAATTGCTTTGGCTGCACATCTAAATCATATGCTAATTTTTCTTATTCATAAGAGTGGCATTTCTAGGCAGATACAAAGCTGTAGACAAGATACTGGTTTCTCCTATGCCACAAAGAAAAGAAGCTTCTCCAGGAACATGTCGATGCTGGCTGAAGTTTAGGAATGAAAAAATCAGAGCGTATGAGTAATGGATTGGAGCTTTACAAATACATTCATTTGTCAGTAGCCCACAAAAAGCCTGTGGGCTAGTGGCCCATCTCCATATACACTATACATATACATACATACATACATACATACATACATACATATATACATATACATATACATATACATATACATATACATATACATATACATATGGCATTCAGCTTTGTTCGGGTATTTTACCACGTCATTGTAGTTGTGCTTTTAAAGTTGTAGCAACGTTTCGGCGGAATCTCATCTGCCATCTCATCTGCCGAAACGTTGCTACAACTTTAAAAGCACAACTACAATGACGTGGGAAAATACCTGAACAAAGCTGAATGCCATACATGTAAGTACCCGCGAAAACTTAAGAAAACAAATACACACACGCACACACACACACACACACACACACACTATACCCTATACACTATACATATATACTCCATCTTGTTAGCCTATACAGACAACAAGCATTTATTTTTGGAAAGCTCTTTGACTGATCAGCCAAAAGCAAATCTTTGTCATCTAAATCAATTAGAAGAAATGCTTATTTAGAATTCTGAACATTATTTACTTTATTTCTATCCTTCTTTTATTATTTTTACAAATAACTCAGGATGGCAAACATATCCAATATATCTTCTTTCTATTTTCCCCACAACCAACTCTGTGGCTTGGGATGAGAGAGAGAGTGACTGGCCCAAAGTCACCAAGGTGGCTTTTACAGCTAAGACAGAACTTGAACTCACAGTCTCCTGCTTGCTAGCTTAGTCTAAACTGGCTCTCACATTAGCTGAAAAATCTACACTCATCAGGCTAGTAGCCAAGGATTAAACGGTAGGGAGACACCATATTATATTTTCCTTCATTGCAGTTATAAAAACTGACCGAAAATGATAGCCCAATTCGAATTAATTACCAATGAATGAAAAAACAGATTAATTCCATCTATTGTGTGAAGCCAATATTTCTTTAACCATGGTTACTATATCAACCACAATTAAGCCAAAACCAAATGAATCACATGTATATAGTTAATACACTCTTAATATGCTATGAATCGGATGCTCTACTTTTAGTGCCTTGAACAGTAGCCTGGCATGCAGAAAACAAAAAAGAAAAAAGAGAATCTGTATTAATGCTACAGATCAGGTGAATGTAAAAAGCGTAAAACAGGATCAGCCATTAAAAAGTTGGCAGTTCCTCTCACTACACATAAATTGATTAAAATATATCTAAAGAATTTAGAAATCCAGGGGAAAAATACTGGGAATGGTTAATAGACCTGCCTACACATTGACTGGCTCCTCCCATTCACTCACTGACAGAGCTAAAGGTTAAAGCAGTATAAAAACAGATTTCTTATTTCAGAGCAGGTGAATGTAGATTTTTTTTTTTTGTAAGGAAACATCTGAAAGCAATGCTGAAGCAATAGAAAAAATATTCCTCTTTCTTTTGAAACTATATGTGGTGTTCATCTTATACTTATATTATACATCTATATTTATTTACATTTTTAAAAAATACTATAAACAACAGGGGAAAATTGGAAGGATGTTCATCTTATCATCCTTAAAGAAAGCACTATTCCTGAGATTGGGCCCTGTCATACTAGTTACTCTTCTGAGTGAAATTTAACACCTACATCTAAAGTGGCTGTCAATGAGGTAAGGACAGTTCCACATCCAAGTTAAAGTGCCCAGGCCTTGTATTGTCACTGACTAAGGCTTAGGCTTAGGTAGTTCTGTTGCAAAGAAATCAACAGTATGTGTATAGGTTTTAGTATATATTTTATACTAAGTATATATTTTAAAGTGTTAAGATTTGGCCATATGTTTTTTTCAATATATTCAAGGCATTTGATTCTTTGGAGGGAGCATGTTAAAGCAGTATAGAAAACTATACTGATCCACTGCAGAGGATAAAAAGGCAGAAACTATATGCAGGAACCTTATTGCCACAGTTTAACAGAAGTTGGCAACATGGGCAGGATCTTGTAAACGCAGGATAGATATCCTCCATTAGGACACAGATAGCCCTCAACTTATAACAGTTCGTTTAATGACCTTTCAAAATTACAACGGCACTGAAAAAAGTGGCTGACCCCTTTTCACACTTAACATTGCAGGATCCCTGTGGTCACATGATCAAATGGGTGGAAATCTGAGGACCAGTCCTAAGTACAGGTAGTCCTCGATTTACAATGGTTCATTAAGTTGGCCGTTCAAAATTACAACAGCCCTGGAAAAGGTGACTTATGACAGTTTTTCACACTTGTGACTGCTGTAGCATCCCCATGGTCACATGATCAAAATTCAGACACTTGGCAACTGACTCATATTTATGGCAGTTGCAATGTCCTGGGGTCATGTGATGATCTTCTGACAAGCAAAGCCAATAGGGAAGCCAGATTCACTTAACAAATGTGATACTAACTTAACAACTGCAGTGATTCACCTAACAAATGTGGCAAGAAAGGTCATAAAATGGGACAAAACAACTCATTTAGCAATAGAAATTTTGAGCTCAATTGTGGTCATAAGTCGAGGACTACCCGTAATAAAATGTATGCAGCAAAAAGTTTAGACTACTCTCTTGATTTTATAACTGCACTCTGATCTAACTTTAAACAAGGCTAGCATTGTTTATGTTCTGCAAGGTGTGTTTACCTAATCTAGCTATTTTCAACAAACAAACAAACAAACGCCTTATGAACAATTGGTAATATTGTAGAATCGAACCTAGTTCTTTTGGGGGGTGGGGGTGGGGAAGGGAATACAAAACTCTGTGCCTTCCAGTTGTTCTCAACTTCAGCTCCTCTGATCCCTAGCTACATAATCATTGCAATAATATTTTGGCAACCGTAGTCCAAAGTATCTGGAAGGCAGCATATTTTCAAATGCATCAATATAAATAAAATAAAATATCGCGAGACAAACAAGCCTGGATGAAAATTATTATATTGTACCATTAATTATTACTGCCTAGATTCCTGCAAGTTAATAAGAAATGGGAATTTTGCATAGGAAGCGAGTGCGGCTTTCAAACTTTTTAACAATTACCGAGGAGTTACCCTAGCTGATAAGCAAATTCCTGCTGAATAAGATCAAATGTGCTATCCAGTTTCCAATTTCCACCCCCCTAAAGATAATGGATGCTTGGATGGGAACAGCCAGAGCAATTCTGTAATCTGAAGAAAAGGATTCTAAGAGAGTTACCTTCTCTACTCCTGCCTTTCCCAACCTGGTGCCCTCTGGGTATGTTGGACCACTATTCCCACCATCCTCTTTACACAACACTTCTAGACAGAAATACTTTCTGCATATTTGGCCCCCGGCTTTCCTAAATGATCACAAGAAAGTTTATTAATCTCCTTTTATTTGGAACCCCTAGTGAATGAGAGTCAGGAAATGGTCCTAACCACTTTCCTGGTGACTTTTTAACCTTTCAATCACACTGGAGGAAGTGAGCCCTCCTTTTACTTTTCTGCACACAGTCTGAAAAGATATCAAGGCAGGGATGGGAAATACACAAACCGGATTCCAGGAGAACCCTCTTAAGAGAAATTTGTGGGGAAATATATCGGTGACATGCATCTCTTCTGTCTACCCACCACCCGCCCCGCTTTTTTTTTTAACCACCTGCAGTTGGGAGAGCCTGAAAACAGGAGCTGGAAACAGTACCCAGTAATTTCTGCTACTGCCCCTTCTTCCTTAGGTCATAGACCCCTTGAAGGATGGCTGAACTTTTCCCACCATAGCAGTAACTGAAGATCTAGGAGTGGGGTCTGCGACCTCTTCCCCCCTCCCCCGCCCGCCCCCAAGCAGAGAGAACATAAGGCAACCAAGCACCCCGGCAACCTTTCTCCTTAGCTTTGTGCAATCGGGTTTAAAAGGGAATCCCCCTCCTTTTCCCCCAAAGCCATTATTCATTCCCTTTTGGTACAGGAAGAGTAGTAATTTAAGAGGTGGCGGCCAAATCGCCTTTTCCCAGCAGCTCCTCTTTAATGGAAAGCCTGGGCAACTCCGGCAGAAGTTTGAACTGTCAAGAGAAGCTGCAGCGGGAGATCGGCTCGACTCCGGGCACTCACGACTCCCCTCGCCTATGCCAAATGCACCCCTCGAGTCCGACTTCAGAGTGTGCCCGGGGCCCCTTTGGCACTTACCTTGGTTCATGGTGCCCCCTCCCCAGAAGCAGCTGCAAGCTCCAACTTGTAATCGCGTCTCTCCCCGGGGAGGGGGGGGGCTACGGGAGGCCCCCTCCCACCTGCGGTGGGTGCCGGGTGGGTGCGTGGGTTGGGTGGGGGGGTCAGGGTGCAGAGGATCGCTGGTGCTCTCCACCCCCACCCCCCAGTGCCTACCTCACTCCCTCCCTCCCCCCTGGACTCAGTGCCAGGAAGAGGAGGGGGTAGAGCAAGGGAGCTTCCTCCCTGGCATGCGCACTGGGGGCCGGCTGAGGGTGGAGGTTGGGGAGTGGGGGAACAGCCCTGGGAATTCCGTTCCCGACCTCCTTCGCTCTGCGCTTAGGGCGCAGGGCTCGCAGTAAAATCTGGCCTGGGCCCTTTGGGTTGTTTTGAAGTCCCGGTGCGGAGATCGGAGCGGCACTCGCGGCAGTCAATCCTGTCGCCTGTTGTTTGCGGCCTGCCTTGCATTGCCTTTCCTTTCCTTTTGCCCATTAGCTCTTAAGATGCTCGGAAACGAATTGCTTGTCTCGAAAGGCGCTTGCAGAGAGGTTTGGGTGCTTTTGGAAAGGACCCGTTCCCGTACCTCAGTGATCTTTTAAATGGGAATGAAGGATGAAGTCCTTACATGCCCATCCTTGTTTTGCCTCCGAATGGATAAAATTTGTGTGTACTGTATGTGCAACTACGTTAAGTCAAGACTGTCTATAAGATGATGGAAGCTCTAGATGGTAAAAAGTTATTCTAGGGAAACTCCTCCCCATTCTGGGGAGAAAAGTAAAACCCACAGTGGGCAGAAACTTCCAAGGAAGAATTAAAAACGAATTAATGCAAGTTGCCTAAAATCACAGGTATGAGATGGATGGCTATAGAATAAATATACAGATTTATTTAACCATGATATGCTCAACCTAATTGGCTGTATTTAGATAACTTACTGGACTAAAGTACCTGGGCAACAAACAGCTTTAAACAAAACCTCATTTTAGCCTAGCCCTTTGTGTGAAGGAAGCAGTTGTATTCTCACCTGGAGAAAGTAGGGAATTAGCAGAAAACTCTTGCCTCCATGCCTGTGCTGCTAGCTTCCCACAGGCATCTTACTGACCATGCTGCAAACAATACCCTGAATAGATTTCTCATTTGATCCAGCAAAGAAGCTTTTTTTAAGTAACATTAAAATTACTTCTTTGGACAAATGAAAGTGCCATACAATCCAGCATTCTGTTTCAAACTAACAGGGAAGGAGCCTACAGATTCTCATGCAGCTTGTCTCAACCTCAGAAGTTGAGGTAAACAATTAGCTATTAAGTAATAACTGATAGAGATCCAGTGCAAGTAATTTAGCCTTTTTTCTTAAATGCTCTGAACTGATAATTCGCTGTTTGACATGGCTGTGCATTCAAGGTATAGTGCAAGTGAGGTGTTTCCACTACCAGATACGATTTTATCTGGGATTCGTTGGTGGGATGCTTTTCAGATGTTTTCCTAATTTAACAGAAGTTTAGGGTTCTGGATTTGATTCCCAAAACATGCTTTGAAGGCAAGAACATAATAGCCATCCAAAGTGCCGATGATCTGTGTAGCATAGAGGTGATAAAAGGCTGTACATATTCAGCTAATTAAGCCTGAGCACAATTGGATGTTAAACAAAAGAAACTGAAAGTTGAGATCAAAGCAATACTTATCTTAATTATGAAAAATTTAATGAAACAGTAGAAATATGCAAAATATACATTAAGCAGACATTGGGATCAAGGAAAGGTGTCTCATAAAATGTGTTAAAATGGATAAATAGGCAATTGTATTGGCATACCACCAAGCATGGTAAATTATGATTTGTGGTTCTCAGGAATGGAGCAGAAGCTGACAAAAGGTTATTTCATATTAAATAATTCAAAGGGAAATTATTTCTACAAGGCTTGATTACTTATACTCCATAAATCATATGTAAGTCCAATGCACTATCCTTCAAAGGCATCCAACAATATTCTGGCCAAAATAAAAATATTGTTTTATACAAGTAGTCCTCGACTTGCAAGTTTGTTTAGTGACCATTCAAAGTTACAATGGCACTGAAAAATGTGACTTATGACCGTTTTTTCATAGTTACCACCTTTGCGGCATCCCCATTATCATGTAATCAAAGTTCAGATGCTTTGCAACTGGTTCATATTTATGACTTTTGCTGTGTTCCAGGGTCATGTGATTCCCTTTTGAAACCTAACAAACAAAGTAAATGGGAAAGCCAGATTTGCCTAACAACCAGGTAGCTAACTTATCAACCGCAGTCTTTCACTTGAGAATTATGGCAAGAAAAGTCATAAAATGGGGGAAAACTCACTTAACAAATGTCTCACTGAACAACAGAAATTTTGGGTTCAATTGTGGTTATAAGTCAAGGACTATCAGAAGCAGACATCTGAGTTGGTCAGTGGTCATATTTGCGAACAGATGTCCAAAATAAAACATACAGCATAGTTCTATGTAGGAGAATGGTGGTGGTGAGAAATTAGATCCAGTCATAATCCCAAAATTCTTTACTGGATATAAACATTGGCAATTTAATAAAAAGCATGCTTTTTATTAACTTTATTGATTTTCTAATTCTAATATAGGTTATTAATATTCCCAATCTGTAATGCTGTAATTATGACAGAAAGAGCCATATTTTAATGTGGATTTGTATGCTAGAGTTTTAGGGCCAAGTATAAAACATTTTCAGTTGTTTGATAATATACCCAAGGATTTAGAAGTTCTTGTGGGAGCTCTGAAGGTTCCCTGAAAGCTTGTCCACTCTCTACCAGACATCTTCTTAAACAACACTGAGAGAAAAACCGTAGAATGTTTTGCAATTCAGAGCTTCACTTTCAATGCTATTTATCAGGCAAAATGATATATAGAAGTTTGCTGTTGGGAAACTGAGATTCTGGCTCACGAGCATAACAATCAAATGAAATGTCAAATTATTCAAATTACACTGCCAATAAAATAAAGGTAGCTTCTCAGATTCATTTTCAAATGAAATAATCATAATATCAGTTGAAAATTCAAGACTTTTTTAAAAATCAGATGGTTGTTTTATATTATAAATTACTTGCAATTGCCTTCATTTTTATGAAACCTATTCAAGTGGTTTGAATCGCTCACCTAAACATTTAGGTGAGGTGCAACATTTAAATGTGACCAGTTAAAATGACTGGTTTACAATGTTCTGATTAAGAACTGCTTATTACAGAGAGCAGATTGTTTTCAAAATCGCAATCATTTTAGCGGAGATGGGCTTTCTGGAATTCCTATGTGGCACCATTAAAAACCAAGGGAGAGAATGCTTTTTTTTTCCTCTTTACAACTCTCGTTTTATTCAAAAGCAAATGCATACACAGATTTATTCCTTTCAAATCCGTGCTATTATTCTTGAACCGATCGGCAGCTCTATTTATTTCATTTTCCTTTGCAAAAAAGGTGATGGTAATGACAATAATAGCACCAGACTAGCTGGGGGCCAAATACACTCTGGGTAAGGCCAGCTCAGGGGAGGCCCTGCCGCTGTTTCCCCAGGGAGAACTGGCCCTTTAACCAAACAGTGGGCGTGGCGTGACGTCATAAAATATGATCCTGGGGGCCTCCCAACGTAATTCGGCCTAGTTACTACTGGGAGACTTGGACACGGGCTCGTTGGAAGTGGGAGGAGGGAAAAGAGCAAAGGAAACAAGGCAGGCCCCGTAAAGGGGATCTAGGAGGGCCAAGGTCAGGACTCCAGCCTGGGCTCCCGCTGCAGTGACTGCCAACGGTTGCCAGGCCATTGCATCATCCCCAGCGCATGACTCACCCACTTAAAGACTCGTGACCCTGAAGGGAGGGGGGGACATTTCGGGAGGAGTCATTTCCGGGTGCGACGCGGCAGTATCCACCGCGGCGGAGCCGCGTCACCCAACACTTGGAGAAGGCGGGGCGTAGCGAAAGGACGACGACGGCCCATTGGGCGGCGGCTGCCTTCGTCCCGCCAATGGAAAGGCGCGGCGTCGCCCATTGGGCAGATATGGCGCAAGGGTTGCGTCATGCCGAGAGGGGAGAGGCGCTCTCTGAAAGACTTCTGGTGACCATCCCGAGCAGGAGGCGGGAGGAGGCATTTGGGAGCCGGTGGGAGTCGAGAGCGGGAGACGATGAGCCGCGAGAGGAGAATGAGCCGCAGCCAGGAAGTTGGAGAACGTATCGCGGGCGAGAAGGGGCCGCGTGGGAAGGTGCGGAGCCTGGGAGGGGAAGAGGAACGCCTGCGCTTTAAGGAAAGCACTTTTCGGGCGCCCGAGGGAGGAGGGTTTGCATGGGTGCACAGCGGGTCAGGCGCTCTTAAGCCGGGCTCCGCTTTGCAAAGAGGCGCGGCGCTTTCGTTGCCTGAACCCCTGGCCACAATTAGCCGGTCCTTTCTCTCTCTCTGCCCGACCACGAGTTGGAAAAGCTCCTTTCCTTCGCCTCTTTTCCTGCAGGGTAGTGATAGTGCATAGATCCCGGCTTTCTACTCAGAGGTCGTGTGTGTGTGTGTGTGTGTGGATTTGCTCATTTCACGTACGCTGTTTAACATTTTAAACAACGGGCTGTAGGATTTGTGTGTGCTGTAAGAAAGGTGGGGGGAGTGTGAGTCTTATTTTTTATTATTATTAAACAAAAACAGAGTTTCATAAGAAAGGGTGAGGTGGGGGGCATGTTGTAAAACCGGTATACGGTACAGGGCGTTGAGGATTCCCCCAAGCAACTCTCATTTCCTTCCTAGCAAATTTGAGTGAGGTGCCCAGATTTCCCGGGTGAACTTAAGGATTGGTAGCTGGGCTTTTGTACTGGAGCCAAACGTCCTGCTTTTCCTGGCTTGCTTATTAGTTTCCAGTGCAGAGAAGGGAGAGCTGGTGGGGCTTGTTTTCTCTTCTAAAATAATTTGGAATTGTGGGCGCTTGGCCAGCTCTGAGGCTACATCCTTTCCCACAGCTGTGCGCTTGCTGTGGCTTGGCAAGTGACCCTGAGGACAAAGCATTTTTTATAGCAAGCTCCCCCCCCCCCAAAAAAAAATTGCAAACAAACTCTTGCCTTGCTTGAAGACTTTATCAGAATTTATTAACCTATTGGAGAAGTCTAAAAGGGATGCATTCTTGCTGGTAGCAGAGGACAATGCTGCAACATTTCCCTGTTAAGTTTGGAAAGTCCCATTTCTCTCTCCCCTCCACCCCCAGGGTACTCTTGTTACTTGGAATGCCTGTTTCTCTAATTCCTTGGGGACCATTCTCCTGCATACGCATAAACATACATCTTTTCCACGAAGCTGCATAACAATTCTTGGATCCCTAATTCTCCTAGTTTCTTGCATCACTCGGGGCTGATGAAAACCAGTGATGCGTGTCCCCAGTGCCTGATGTGTGTTCCTGTGGGGTTCACTGTAGTGTTGCTGCTTTGCTGTTTGATTTGGGGCATTGCAGAAATCTCTGTCGAAGATGCATGGCTAGAATGGAAAGCAGCTCTCCTGGTTCCTGCCCCTGGGTGCTGGGAGTACAATCACACACCCTCAGTGTCACTATCCATGAAGCTCACTGGAAAGCAGAGATTTAGTGTATGAAAGATGTAACAAGTATCAGGTTGTAGGCATTTGATTTCATCATCAAATGAGATTTGTTCATATTTTACTAAAAGAGAACTTCTGACCATTTGCAAGCGTCTTCACATCAGCAGTTTAGCCCAGGGGCCACCAAACTCATAATTTTAAATCCCAGGGACCACTAACCCATTCTGTGGGTGTGGCCTAATTTGTGGGTGTGACTTGGTCATGTGACATGGCTTGTATGTAAATATTATAAATATTTATATAAATATTGATTTTTTTATTTAAAAAGCAACTTTTACCCCAAAGCAGGCAGGCAGAATCACAGATTCATTCAAAGATCTATCTATCAGCCATTGGCTAGCTCAGTCTGTCACATAAAATTTGCTTGCAAGCAAACTCACAAAATTAACTCACAACACACCATGTATGTAAATATTGATTTTTTTTATTTAAAAAAGAGCAACTTTTACCCAAAAACCAGGCAAAGCAGGCAGGCAGATTGAGTTGCTCACAGAATCATTCAGATCTAAAGATCTAGAAAGCAAGAAATCTAACCATTTCCTGCTTCCTAGCTAATCTGAATCTTCACAGCAGAACACCTGATGGTCAGAAAAAGGAAAAATAGCAATTTAGCAGGCAAGTTTGCCTGGTAAGGAGTGAGTGGGGAGGGTTCCCGCGGACCAGGTGGGCAGCGCAGCCTTGTGTTTCTGCGCAGCCTGGATTAATTGCTTTGGGAGGGTGCTCTGGGGTGAGATTGCTCTGCGGCCCACCAAAATTTTCTCACAGCCCACCAGTGGGCCGTGGCCTACCAGTTGGCGAACGTTGGTTTAGCCTATGTCCCCGTGCTAATTTGGCCTCCTCTGTTTTACAAGGTGAGGATAGAGTGAATATAACTCTTTCTGATGCAGAATTCAGTGAAAAAGGGGTGACCTGCATCCAGATGTTTTTCCAAAAGGATTTGCCCTTTTTAATACAAAAATAACTTACAGTGTTGGAAATAATGCATTTAAAAGAATTTTTTAAAAATAGTCTTGAGTATGATGAGCCTAAAGTGCTATTTCCAAAAAGCCTTAATAATTGCTTTGGCTGCAATCTAAATCATGATACAAAGGCATGACATGTCTATCTCTGGATAAGAGATTTGTCCAACTCCTGTTATTTAGAAGCATCCAAAATATATTGAGATTTTCTGATGGTTGAGAAAAAAAGGAATTCACATGCAACATGTAGGTATTTATCAATGAGCTTGAAGAAGAGGATAATGCTTTGGTAAACAGCAGCAGCACAGTTCCCTGTTTTAAAGGATAGGGGTGGGAAAAAATGCTAAAGGAAATTTGTGGTGCCCACATTCCATTCTGCTGTTTAATGTCAATGGGCAAATTTGGAGGTGGTGGTGGGGGCTTTCCTTGGATGGTTGTAACATGTTTATGATACACGGCACCCTCTTGATAATAATCACAGACTTTTCTCTTATTCTTTCAGTTTCGAACAAAAAATCGCACGCTAATACATCACCACACTTGAAAAAAAGGTAAGAATCCAAGAAAAGCAGATTACATGGAGGGAAAAGCATGGGAGAATTGTACTAAACTTTAAATAGGTTCATTTTAAGAACTGCACTTTTGAGAGTAAGAACTGTTGAGTTCAGTGGAGTTGCTCCAGAATAGGCATGTTTTAAGATTGGATTATAGAGTCTTCAGGCTTTCAGGTGTTCAAGGTAGGCCAAGCCAAGAAACGGGTCATGGCAGGGATTCTGGGAATGCTCTTTGTAGGATAGAGTAAAATCTTGAAAGCCCACCTTAATTTCTCTCTGCCTTACCTTAATTAAACAAAATCAAGGCTGAGTCATTTCTCATCCCTTTCTCTCTGGGTTTCAGTAATTTTTTTCTGAAAGTCATCCCCCTTTCACAGTTTGCTCATTCATTCCTCATTCCTCCTTAATTATCACTAAGAAATTTTGAAAGACAAACTAAGGAAAGTAATGTGGATGAGAAAGTGCAATGAAAGAAAGAAAAAAGCTGTAAAGAAGCAACTTTAAATCTTAACACCAGTTAAGTACCTTTAAATTTTGCCCTCTCTCCATAAGAGTACATCATAATGTCTTTCTTTCCATAGTTTACCCTTTCTAATCATCAGGCACAAGTTCATTTTTTTTCTTTTTTCAACAGAAAGTCCAAAAGGGCTTTCCAGTCATAAACAAATGCAGTTGTTGATCTTTAATCAAACAAGTCAACCTCTGCTAATTCTGTCATCTCTACCAGCCATTCACTTTACAGTATTCAGTATTCACTTTACAACCTCTGCAAAAAGATCACAAAATGCGGACCTGCTTTACAACTGTCACAGCAACGACCAAAATTGCAGTCTCAATTACAGATGTAAATCGAGGATTTCCTGTGACTCTTTCAGGAGTGTCCAGATGTTAACATAGATTACTTACTGTTCTTTCTTTGACCCCAAAACTGGTGTATTTATATTGCACAATACAATCTTCTATCTGTATAATTTACAAATATTTATGTCATAAATAAATGTCTCTAAGATGCCTCAAATTTCTGTTGTTCGTATGGTTGTTATCAGTTGAAATATGCCTAGAATGATGGACTTATTCATGTAAAGTATTTGGGTCAGTGGAAAGGGCATACATATTTATTTGAAGATATAGATAACCTGAAACCTTAAAGTGAAGAATGTTTTTTTAATCTTTTGAAACAACAACAAATAAATGCTTACCATTCTTGGAACAGAGAATCGACATGGATCAATGTAGTTTTTGGTTTAATAATTGGTTTTTGTGGGTTGTGTAGAACAAACAGTGGTTTTTAAAGGTATTGTGATTTGTTTCTTTGTGATAGACAATGCTAGTGCTTTTCACTAAGAATAGAATATTCTTAAGTGTCTTTAAGCTTCCTTCCATTGTATATATGAAGGTTATTCCAGAATAGGTAATTTATGCAGCTAGTAGCTGTAAAATAGAATTAGTTGGTACAGGGATTAAGGTGATGGACTAGGAACCCGGAGCCTTCAAGTTCTAGTCCTTCCATAGGCATGAAAGTCAGTTGGGTGACTTTGGGCCCATCACACTCTCAGCTCAACACAGGGTGGCTGGAAATCATGGCAATCTGCTCATGTTCAAGTTGTCAGTAAACACAGACCTGCTTGGCTGTGAGAAGCTTACATAAAAGGCTAGGCTTTTTTCAAGGTGCCTGAAATTTGCTTTAGTGGTCCAATATGTTTCAGAGTGTACCTCACACAAGAAAAGCTAATTGGACATAGAGGTTCACTGTGCCACCTACCTCCACTATGCAAGTCTTCACTGCTCAGTTATGAGTCACTTGTTTTGGCAAACCTGCTTGTGGCTCTGTTAATTGCTAATTCAGAGCATACAAAAATGGATGGAGCTTTCTGCTCTGAGCATGTCCCGGCTGGCCTCAAGGCCAAGGAGGAAAGAAAAATTCCATGTCTGAGATGTAAGAAAGTTTGGCTAGCCCTCCCAGCCTGTCTTGTGATGATGACTCACTTCTTATTTCTCACAGTGCAGGAGGTTTGGTTTTGCTAACCTCCACCCATTGTTAAGACATCTGGAAAACCCCTAGCTTATCTCCCTGTTGAGTATGACTTGAAATACAGTATTTAATTCAAAGTTTGAATAAAGTACTCGTAATCCTCAACTTATTACCACAAGTGAGCCCAAAAATGTCTGTCATTAAGTTAGATATCTCTTAAGCGAGTTTTGCCCCATTTTACTATCTTTCTTATCTCATTTGTTAAGTGAATCGCTGCAGTTGGTAAATTAGTAACCTAGTTGTTAAGGGAAGCTGGCTTCTCGCTTGACTTGGCTTGTCAGAAGGTTGCAAAAGGAGATCCCATGACCTTGGGACACAGCGACAATCATAAATATGAACCGGATGCTAAGCAACTTAATTTTGATCATATGATCATGGGAATGCTCCAAAAGTCACAACTCACTTTTTTCAGTTTCATTGTAACTTTGAACGGTCGCTAAATGAACTGTTGTAAGTCGAAGACAACCGACATCGGTTCACAGCAGGTATATGGAGTGGACCAATTTCAGTCCTATTATCAAAAATATTGTCTATATTGACAGCCACATTTCTTATTCTGAAGAAGTCCTACAAAGTTCAGAACTGGCTTGTTAGGAGATAGGGTCAAGTGAGGTGTAAGATGGCCGATGCCACCGCAGAACTTAACGATTGGTCTCGTTGAAGAGCTGTTCTGTTTTGCTAATCTGGTGTTCGGCCTTTCCCAACCTAGTTGCCCATTCGGGCTGATTCTCCATATGAAGATTGCCCAAGTGCAATTTGAGGTTGCTTTTATTTTCCCCCCTCACAGTCCATGGCCGTTTTTACTGTTCTCTTAATTTTTGCTCTTAAATTTTTTCTCTGCCTCAGGTACATTGAGCAGATTTGTACGGGCTTCTTTTGGGAACATGGGAGAGAAGGCTCCCTAATATGCAAGATGAAAAGGTCTTCTATTTGCAGGTCAGGGATGTCAAACTCACATCGTCACGGCAGGGTCACATGACGTATAGGGACATTTTCCCCTTCGCTAAACTGGGCATGGGAGTAGCCAGTGCGTGACTCGTCCAGCTCATAGGCCTGGAGTTTGACAGCCCTGTTGTAGGTGATCTGAATTAAAAAGGAGCTCTGGATAAACTTTTCTTTCTCCCAGAGCAAGTCTAACTTGCTGAGCTGTGTGGCAATCTATGCAGATGTTATCCAGTTTTCTGATGGCACCCATAACTTTCATCTTTCAGAAGCAGTGTGGCTTTCTCTGAACCATGATGGCAGAATCCCTGCCCTTTCCACTGGGCACACCAGTGCCCACCTGGGAATTGGAAGCCTGGTACCAGGACTTGCAGGAAGTGCTATCCTCGGATGTATCCAACAGGACAGACCCCTCTGGGGTTGGACAGGAGCAGGTGAGTCGGTTTGCTTTTGTCTTGGTGCTTCCGGAACTGCTAAGTCCTGCATTCAAGTGGGTGGTTGGATTCTATGATGGGCTGGCTCTGCATTGCACTTTGTATCCTAAATCTGCATTGGAGAGATGTAGCCACTACCCTCAGTAACAGATCTTGTAATCCTTTAAAAATGCATACATTATACCATAAAACTACATTCCCTACTTAGGCGCCTTTCAGGTGTTCCCATAATTGCTCATGCTGGCCAGGTTTGGGGAGTTGTAGTTGCACACACACCTGGAAAGCAACTAATAAGAGGAAGAGGCCTTTATATTTTATTTCATTTATGATTCTTCCCCTCCGCCAAGTAATGATCTACAGAATTTAGTTCTAGAATGCTACAGTTGTTATACTAATCTTTCAGTAATTTCATTTTTTTTCAAGTTAAAGTCCAAAGAGTTATTAGACCTATTTCAATTTAAAAATGCCTCAATAAATAGTAGCTTCCTCAGGCCTTTCCAGGGTAGTCTTATAATGTAAGCATGTGTGCTCAGAAGCCACTTGTAACCTTTCAGTAAATGTATAATTTGAGTAGTGGGTGTATGGGAGTATTCTTTTTGGCTGGCTTCCACTATAGCAGAGTTTCTCAACCTTGGCTTTTAAAATGAGGACTTCAGCTTCCAGAATTCCCCAGTTAGCCATGCCAAAGTTGAGTTTCACTGCATTAGTAGGGGCAGTAGCTCTTTTGAATTCTGCTATATAATGCAGCATTGGTGCGGTGTCGGGGGTTTTCAGTTCAATGTGTGGAGGGTGAAGGATGTGTGTTTGTGTTTATTGGCATGGTCATGATGTGCACTGAAGATGGTGTTTGATTTCGTTGTACGAGGTTCAGTGACAATAAAGTAAACTAAACTAAATTAAACTATAGACTAATTGCACTGAACTCAGATTTAAGTTGGTAGGTACAAGTCAGAGGGTTCTATTAAGTGTTTCATTTGAGCTTCTTTTGACTCCTGTCTTTTCTGTCATGGCTCCTGCCTGTGGAACGTCAATCAACCCCTACTCATGCTGGTCCCAACCTGCTGGCCTTCCAGAAGACCCTCAAAAATAGGGTTTTTGCTGATGAGTCTCAGGATCCCATGATAGATTGAAGCCTGTTAGATGATGTTAACTGATGTGCTCTTTGTATGCTTTGCAGCCACTCTGTCTTTTAGGGGCTTTTTAGTTGTGGTTCTTAATAAGTGTTTATGTGTTTTGTTGTTATGTATGCTGCCAGGAGTTACTGTGTGAGATGGACGACCTATATAACCCACCTACCACCTTTTGAAAAGTCCTGAAGGCTTTCCCCCCAAGCATTGGGATAGGATGAAGTGACTGCCTGTCAGAAGCTTGGTTTGGTGACAGGTTTTTGTTTTTAACATTTACAGTTTTAATGTTGTTTAATTCTTGATTGGGAGCCATTCTCAGTTTGGTCGAAGATAGGCAGCTATATAACCATTTTGAATGGTGATAAATGAAATGGGTAAAAGGTGATACTTTAAATTTATAGTACTCATTGGTCGGTCATATGTTCAGAAGCAAGCCCCTCAGTGCCATAGTCCCAGCCTTCCAGAAGATTGCTCAAATGTGAGATGGACAGTATATAAATGTGTAATACATGTCTTTGAGTTGTTAGTGTGCTTGTTGAGGTGTGTTGTTTTTTAAACTCCATGACATCTTAAGAGAACACATTCACAGGCTCAGGAATTATTCTTTCCTTGGAAATGATTGGAGATGGAAGCTGACAATATGCATCCTCTTTTTAACCCGGCTCTGGCTCCATTTCTTTTTCAGAAGGAATTCGATGGCTTTGATGGTGCTGCTCTCTTGTGGAACTTGGAGACTTCCAATTCCTTGGAGCTTAATGGGGATATAACGACAGGAAGCTATGAGTTGTTGCCTGATCTTACAGCAGAACTTTTGGAGCAACTGGGCCAGGAGCCTCCAGGGCCAGTGGAGTCCGATTCTAGCCATGGCTCTCCTACCCAGACAGGCACAGATGATGATGAGGGGATGTCTACTAGCCGGAAGAGGCGGCAGAGTGGCCAGCCTCACGGTGGCAAGAGACAGTGCGGCAGAGAGCGGGAGCAGCAGAATGAGCGCAGAGTGGCTGAGCTGACAGCACATAATGAGCATCTCCAGCAGGAAATACAGCGCTTGACCGCCGAGGTGGAAGCTACCCGAGCAGCGCTCATCCAGCGGATGGTGAGCCTAAAGACATGATGGGGTCCTTGGACACTTTTCTGCACTGAAATTATTTCTCCTTGCTATGGACTGAAAGTATGCAGGGCCTCATCCTTTCCAGATTGACTGTGCAACATGCTGAAAAGAGGGGCATTTGTTGACACCTTAAAGCACATCAATGCCCTGTGAAACTTACTCTGAGTAGCAAATGGACCTCCCTTGCAGAACTAATCTGTGTGGCCCAGTTATTTTAGGCAAAGAGGAGATCCCTGACTTTCCTAGAGACTGACTGGGGCAATTGTGGAACTGACTTATTTTTAATAGTTATATCTGTTCTTCCCCTTGCCAGGAGGTTGCAGGGAGGAATGTCTGCATGTATCATTCTGTACAACAGTGCTTTGTACTTGTATAAAGAGCAATAAAGTATTTATTTTGTCCTGTGTAATCCAACAATTTGAAGGTTCTGGAACTGTTCTTGGGAGTCACAAAAAGACTAATAAAAGGAGAAGATGAAATGAGATCACAGTTGCTAGCAATTGTCACAAACAAAGGAACCTGAGACGTCTTGATTGCGATCACAACTCCGCCAGTCACTTTTTCTTTTTCCCTTTTCCTTCTACCACATGGTGCTGCTTCTGCAGTTCCACCAACTCTGAGACCACAACATCAACTTGCTCTTTTCTGGCGCCCTGGGCCTTTGTATGTTTTATGTGGTTACCCTAGATATAAAACTGCCGTGAGTATATGGCAACCTTGTTCAGGAGGAAATTCAAAGTTAAGAACAACATAAGCTAAGACAGAATATGTTCCTTTAATAACTTCTTAAAATTATCTATTATACTTTCAAAGAAAAGGGGAAACAGAAATAATGCTGGGAGAAAGGCAGACTTGAATATGGAGAATGCTATATTTCATATATCATGATAAACGGTTAAGGGAAATACATATGTCTAGCCTAACAAAGAAGGATTGGAGTATCATGATAGCTGTCTTCCAGTACAGTTCAACCCCCATTGAGCCCAAAATTTATGTTGCTAAGGGAGACATTTGTTAAGTGAGTTTTGGCCTGTCTTAATAACTGTTCTTGCCACATTTGTTAAGTGAATCACTACAGTTGTTATTTAATAACACAGTTAAGTGAATCTAGGTTTTCCCATTGACTTTGCTTGTCAGAAGGTTGCAAAAGTCACATGACTCCTGGACTGCAACCATCATGAGTAAACTGACAAGCATCTGAATGAAAAAATCACATGACCATGGGGATACTGCAATAGTTATCAGTGTGAAAAATGATCATGGGTCATTTTTTCCAGTCTTTTCAGAACTTTGATTTCTAGGGTCACCGAACATCTGTGAACAAAATGTGCTTATTCTGACAAAACAGTTACCATGATAGGAATAGGTAGTTGCAGAACACCCATTTAACCAGAACATGATAATGTGTAACCTACAATTTACAAATCAGACTGGCTGGAGTCGTGCTACATGCTCAGCCCAAAGAAGAAAATCTCTTCAAGTAGTATGTTGTGCAAATTCACCGTACTGGAACTAGAAAAAGCTTAACGCACCAATAAGATATAAAGTAAAGCCTAGACCTTAATGATAACTACATTTGTTACTAATTTCATCCCTAACACTTCAGAATCCAGCCTTACCTGTTTGTCTCCTTCCTGATGTTCCTTCCCTCCCAATGTTTTCTGGATATTTGCAGCTGCTTTTTGCTGCAAGCCAAAGCAGATAAAAACTATTAAATGAGCCACACCTCTCGTCTTTTTAATGTATCTTACTCACACCATGCTTCTATGATCTCCAAATTGGATTGTGCTTATTGACAAGAAGGGAAAACAATATTACCAGGTGCTACAATGCAGCTAATTTCAGGAAATGGAGAAAGAGAGCATGCACTGCTTGCTAAGCATCATCCATAAAAGGAATATTATGGTGTCACAATATTAAGGTAAAAGGCAGAGACAAAGGACTGGTGTGTAATTGTAGCAATCTTAATATTTTTGGAGGGGAGGAGGGTTGAACTTGCAATGGAAGCTACAAAACAATGATTAACATGATTAATAAGCCATGGGTACATGTTTCTTGGAGGAAGGATTCAAGTTATGGCTAGAGCACTTCAGGAATTCATACAAGGATCTGATTCTCTGGTGGAAGTCTAGAATCCAAAGCATGCTTGTGGAGAGCCAACAATTATTTATCAAGCTTATATGTTGCCCAATTCCCTGTGTTCTGGGAAATTTATGAATTGTTTAAAACAAGAATAATAAACAAAAAGAAAGGTAAAGATAGCCGGATGACAAACTGGGTTGGAAGAAAGGAAAACAACCTGGGTTAAAAGGAAACATCCATCATCATCACACCAAAGCCCTGGGTGGAGGACCTTCAAAACACCAGAAGGGTAGGGGCCATTTGTATTTCCCAGAAGTTAGGTGCTGTTACAGAGGTTTGTTTCCAGGTTTCCAATAGTATTGCTTAACCGAAAGAACCTGGAGTGTGCCAGCCCAACCAAATCAGCGTGCCAGCCCAACCAAATTACGGTCAGGGAGATACTATGGGAGACAGGTGACACACACAACCCCCTGAAATATCTAGACCCTAGGTCACAAAATGCTATCGTGTTAACAATTTTTACCTTTGGCTTCAGTGGGAAGTCTTCAGGCTGGAAAACAGGAGAAGGGAACCAGAGAAAGACCAGAAAGAGGCAGGAATGGTTAGGTGCTACAGCAGAGGAAGGTCTTTGAATGCAACTAGAGTATCTAAACCAGATTGCCCAACAAAGAGGAGGAGGAGGAGGAGGAGAACACAACTACAGGAGAGATTTACTAATATCTTGAGTTGTGACAGTTCATTTAATGACTGTTCAAAGTTATTCCATAATCCCCTCAAATGTTTATGACAGTCCTGAAATTATGAATATTGCAATACCACGGCAGTCATTCCCCCTTACGAATGACCGCAGAGGCACTGCAATGTTCAACCTGCCTATTCCCTCTGCCCACTCCCCACAATTGCTTGCCCTCTACCATCCTGCTGTGCCAGACTCACTTACCCTGCAAAAATCTGTTTCCTCTCTGCTGCGGTTTCTTTGAGAGCAGGATGATTGTGTTTCCAGCATGAGTGGCTTGCAAACACTTTTTGCGTGCTGGAAGTGAAATGTTCTGGGGGCCCTGATTTCTGCTAAAGCAAATGAGTGCCTGAAGTTGCGTGAGATCAAGGCGCCCAGAAGCTTCTAGTCTCCGTGCAAAACATTTGCAAACCGACAAAACCCCGCTGCCTCAAAGCATTCGGACGGTTTGCAAACGTTTTGCACCGAGACTGGAAGCTTCTGGGCATCATGATTTTGCATGGCACAGAGGCTGGAAAGGAGACAGCTTGCTATATCTCCGCAAGGCAAGTGACCCAGCACAGCAGGATGGGAGGAGGGAAGCAATTGTGGGGAACATGAGGTGTCTCAGTGGGTCAGGGGAGGACTTGGGTGGTCTTAAGCAAGTGGTCCGTTCCATCAGTAGGCCACTCCCACTCTGAGATAGCTCACATGCACTTAACAACCTGCACATTTGATTAGCGAATGTGTGAGTGGAAGCAGGGAGTTTTCATGTTCATTTTACATGATTCACTCCAATGAATCCTCCGGTTACGAATGTAATTGGCAGGCTCCATTACATTCGTAACACAAGGAATACCTGTACTTGGGACACAGAGCCCATTCCAACCCAGTCAACAGCATCAACATAAAATACTGTCAACAGGAAAATTAAACCACAAACGCAGAAAAGTATAAAGGGTCAAAGTAGGAGAACTGTAAATTGCAATACTTCTTTTCCACCATTCTGAAAATAAAATACACTTTTAAAGAATATCTCAGTGTACGTTTCCCCAAATATTTTCGGAGAATGAAAGGATCAAAGAAATGGCCACCAGCACAGGAGCTGATTAGTCAGTTTATACCAAAAAGGAAACTCCCCAGTGTTTTACCTGCAAAACAGGTAATTTTCTCTGCAGCAAAGTGTAATGAAATTATCACTAAGGATCTTCCTAAGACTGAACATGAATGTAGGATTTGGGGGGGGAGGGGAAATTAACAACAGGCAACACCTGTAAGTATTTTAAAACATTTGCGTTTTGTACCATTTTTTAAAAAATGAGGCCTTTTAACTTTTTAAGAAGGTATACTCATATTATTAACTCTACAGTACAGTGCAACCTAGCTATCTAGACCTCAGTGGGAGGGATCAAATTCTGCTTCATTATAATGTCATCATACAAGGACACCAATTGTGTAAATGATGCAATCTGTGACATATGCTTTGCCATCTCCTCCTCCAACCAGTTCATTAAAATGAGGCTTTGCTGCATGTCCATAAGACTGCGGAAGGCACACCAGAAATGGATAGATCTGTTTTTCCCTTGGTCAGACATGCTGGAATGTGGGACGTAGCAAGGTGCCCTGTGTGAATGGGCACTTCTCACTCCCTGTTGCTCAATTTCCTCATTTCGGTGGCATATGAACAATCCCTCTCAATTCTTCATTCCTAGTCACTGGTTTGCAATGACAGTGCTACAACTCAGCAACTATGAAGTGAAACAAGAAGTCAAGGCCACTGGTAAAGCGAGGAGTATATCTGCATTTTACAAAGAGGGTGTGATTTCATCCTTGGTTTTTTCCAGTAACTATGACTGATGCCTGAGGTAGGAGGAATTGTAGAGGAGGCAAGTGTACAACTTTGTGATTGACAAAGAGGCCTTACTTTCTGGGAACGGGGTTGTGCATTTGGTTCTTGACCACAGCAGCTTTAAGTGCAGCCTCCTTCTCAGGGTTTTCCTCATCTTGTAGAGAAGAGGATCACCTGGCTACTGATCTCATGGCTCATAAAGTTGTGAGGTACAGCGAAAGCATCCCAACTACTTTAAGGAGCCTCAGAAGAGGTGTAGAGATGTCTCCTCTCACTGTCAAAGGCTTCCAAAGAAGTCTGGGTGAATCAGTTCATCCGCCATTTCTTACCTGTCCTCCACTAAAACACTTCCGCAAGTTTTCAATTTGTTCAGCCTCCAACTTTTGGAACAAAGGAGTCACCTGGAATGAAATGTAGAAGAAGTTTCAGACTGTTCATCATCCCCACTATTATGTAGTCTAGTTTGGCCTAGTGGTTAAGGCATCAGGCTAGAAAGCAGGAGACCGTGAGTTCAAATTCTGCTTTAGGTATGAAAGTCAGCTGGGTGACCTTGGGCCAGTCACTCTCTCTCAGCTCAATTCATCTCACAACATTTTTGTTGTGGGGAAAATAAGAGGAGGAAGGTGTGTTAGATATATTTGTCACCTTGAGTGATTTATAGAAATAATAAAGATAAGATACAAATAAATAAATATGAAAACAATTTAATAAATACTACTTTAACTAACAGTATTGCGAATAACAGCATCAACTCCTTGGATA